ATTTACTGATGTGTGATGCATCTGTGCATTCAGTGTTTTTATTCTTTCATAAATCCTACCAGCTATTTCGCGATATGATCTCTGTCCACATCTCTACCTCCAAATTCAAGGATCTGCCGAATATTTTGGGGGGAGTTGCCGGAGTCACAACTGATAAAATATGCTGTTGTCTATCTTCCTGTCCCGTAGTATGCTCCTTATGTAATTTTTCAGCTGTGATTGAGTTCAATCACCTAATTCCACTTGGTTGAGGAGTCGGTCAAGGGGCTGTTGGTCGTTTAGCGAGACGGCCTTTATCTTAGCCGTTTCTAATACGTCATATGGCTTCTCTGCGTCCGGTTCAGCTAAAACATTGCGAACTGCCTGCTACTTCATCCGGAAGCAGTGCACATGTGTGGCCGAATTTATCTCGTGAATACGGTTAAATGAAAAGTAATTTTCAAGTTTAATAAACCAAATTTGTGGGTTGGTGACCCTAAAAGGAGGAATGAATAGATTAAGGGACCTCACAAACGCCGCTTGTGGTAAACCTAGTGTATCGTTATCTGAAGACATATCCATACACAATGAGTAATACACAAATAAATCGACTTATGTATAAGGGAAGGAAATCAGACAATAACGGACTTACTAAACCACAGCAGTATAACACTTGTATGTATGATGTCGGTACTTGAAATTGTTAATATTGTCAAAATATGTTCAACAATGTTTGTGAAATAATTAGCGTGTAATAAAAATACGGTAACAGTAATCTGCAATAGTAATTAAAATCCACAGTAATAAATCAGACGGAGACGGATCCCTTTTGATTCGTCATAAACGACGTTGCGATCTTTCGTTTAGCTCACCAACTATTTGGCAGCGGACTTTCTTTATCTTCTAAATCCTGTATATCTCCTTCTTGACGACCGTTACTATAGAACACAGGCCGCTGCAATATATACAATGATTGATACAAATATCGGATTTCATACAAATATGTATTCTCGATATTACTATTGAATTATTCAAACAGTTAATCCATAAAGCTAGTCAAATGACTATATGCGTACGTGGTAAGTAATGCCCAAGCATAAATGCGCATACAAGCTCCACAATGATAAAAATACAAAATATATGTGGGGCGTAACACTTTGTTCGGCATTTCTCAACGATTGACTGCAGCCTCTCGTAGAATTGACCTTTATTGTCCTCACTGTTTTCGTTGGTGTGTGCATAGCACTAATTGACATTCATTGTGATCCTCTCATTCTTTGTCTTGAAGTATAATTTGATGATCCTGGATCCATGGGATTCCCATCCTATCAGTGCTTTTTAGACAGCATCAGTACTACTACTTGTGTATGTGTGGCATATTCCTCTTGATGGCCGGAGTACAACAGTATCTCCTGTCCAACTTGTGTCCTGTGTTTCACTTATTCTAAGCATCACCATGTTGTATCTTTTTATTCCCAAAGCAACTGCGATGACTTTCACAGTTCCTACAATGTGCGAACATCCCATTAGCCTATATTAATGGTTGCTCTGGTTGTCAGGAAGGAGCATCGGCCTCATGAATCTCGAAGAAACCCGGCTATCACAATATGGCGTCATAACTCTTCTAAATGAAGGAAGACCTTCCAACTCCCACGGCAGAGTTTAAATGGTTTGAATAATTTTTGTATGGTTAGCCTTTTTCCAGCAAGTTTATTTCATACGAGATGACGTTGCTAAACACATGCACAACTCTCATTTATTCAGGCTTGTGAATTTATGAACACATGTGTGAATAGTTGAATCAACGTCAGATTTCGATTTATCCCATCAGCCTGGTTTCAATGGTTTCACTGCGAATTTTTTATAAAATTTTCGCTTTAACTAATTCTGTTATCGGAAAATTATACGTTATAATATTGCTACTCAGGATGAAATATGTTCCAGTGGATAGATTTCATAGTAATTACATCAGATTGATATTAAAATGTGATTTTCATACTTCAAAAATTTTTTAACTGCAAGTTTCATCACCTCATATGACTAAAGAAGATAATCAATGTAAGCTTTGGACTCCAGCCAAATTACTTTAAATGAATGACCTTATTATTTGGTAATTAATTAACTGTTTACCAAACGATTTCGAAAATGTCTAGTTTTTTTTTCTTTTGAAATGCCTCCCCTTTATTTTTTGTTACGTTGAACTAGTTACTTATATGTTAGTCAGTAACAAAAGTAAATTTAGTCATTTATGTGTTCGTAATGTTTCGTAGCAATTTCTATTCTTATCTTTTGTGTACACAATTGATGAAAGAAATCAAACCCTTTTTTAAATATGAATATTTTACGTTGTACGTTTTTATTTTAGTTTCATAGGTGGCATTTTACTACTACATGAAAAAACATCGTACTTTTCTTGTTACTTGTTTGTCTTGATATCTTTACATAGGTTGAACTTTCGAAATCTATCCTATTTTCTCTAGATTTTTTAATCACTTTCATCAGGTCTAATAATTAAAGCATATGGTCTTCTTCTAATGTGATTTTAAATAGACAGGTAAAACTCCTAATTTTTGCACAAAATAGTGTATTTAGGTGGAAGCATATGAATGAGATTTTTTATCAATGAGTTAGTTATCTTATTCCGAAGTAAAAGATAATCTTAAGTTAACACTATAGAAATGAAAAATTGTGATAATAATTGTAACTATCTATTTGATGAGTGTCATGATCATACAAAATCATATGCTAATGATTGCCAGTTCATATAACTTGGTGTTCAATAGTCAGTCAGTCAGCTATAAAGTAAAATTTCTTACATACCTACGTCAAGTTTCCATATCACATTAGCACCGAGAAACCCAATCATCTATTGAAATCCCATAGTAGTATAGGCAGTAGAAATATTAGCGCTAATAGAGTAGATTAGGGTTCGAAGAAATGATTCCAGTTTGCCCCAATGAAATAAATTCGAAAAAGAAAAAAAACAGTCATGAGGAATTCAGAAGATTCGAATTTGAGAGTAGACAAAGGTTATATGCATTCGCGCCATTGCAAACGCTTTTTTGAACTATGTCATCCTTAATCGTCAGTTGCTATTGTCTCGCCGGTTACGCACGGCCTTTTTATTGGATGCTTGTAAAGTTCCGCTCTTCAAAAAGCTTTACCGCCGGAAATGGAAATCCGTAGGGTTATGTGTGGTGTGACATTTCTAGGGTCATCCTTTTCTAACCCCTTCCTTCCTTTGTGAGAAGGCCACATCGCTTCAGATGCTGGCTGTCCGAGGGAAGCACCTTGCTTCCGTCTCACCTATCTACAGTCAGCATTAGGACCTTGAATTGCTGCCTTTAGTTTTACCATTCTCCAATCGACATACCTGGAATGGTCGGACCCAAAGATACATATGTTTCACTCAAAAATAGCTCAGTTGGGTCATCACGATAAATAAGCGTGACCACAACGTCAAGGTTGCAGTTGCAGCTGGGCAGTAGTGTTCAATAAAGGCTTATTTACAAAAGCCTAAGGTAATTTATCTATTACTGAATTAAATATTACTGAAATGAACTAGAATTTTTTTACAAAACAACTTATTCTATGCATATAACCAGATTACATGGGATTAAATCCATTCGAGAACAACATCAGTTTCTTTAACACCTTCATTGTACATCATACTGAAAGTGTTAATTTCGAAATTTTTTTTTATCAACTAGTTAGTTTTAATCAATTATCACGTTCTAGATTGTATTCTTTTATCTTTTCTCTCTCTTTTGTTTAATATTTGGATGAATAGTTAAAAAACTTCTCCGCCTATACAAATCAGTATATTGATTGATATTTTTTTTTCAATATTTATTAAGTACTATAACGAATGATATAAATTACATTCATTCATTCATTCATTCGTTTTTTTTATAGGTCATTGTTATTATTCAAATTAGTTTCAATATGATTTTCTATTAAGAATGCTACATCGTTTATAATCCCTTATTATTATTATTATTACTTTTTTCTACGGTTCACAGCTTTTCATGATTCAAAAAACATTTTTAATCAATCGTATGTATATATATCTATAATACATAATATATAAATCAGTAAAATTGTATAGTTCGTGATTAGGATAAGTTTTGTATAAGTTTGGTTTGAATTGTTGTGTTTTTATAAACTCTATATTTTGTTGTTTAAATCTTTCCATTGATGCCTAGGACTGTCATTGATTAGTCACTTTGTGAATTACCTCGATATTGTCCATTGATTGCATGCATTATTAAGTAAGCGCAATGCTATAGTTAGGAATTGAGTACTAGGTAAGGATGGCAGATCAATTGATGAAGTAGTGAAACTTCATCAGTTGAGGTGGTTGGGACATGTGTTACGTATGTCCAACCACCGACTAACTCGACAAGCAATGGTTTGTGGTATAGTAGTAGGTTGGAAGAAAGCTAGAGGTGGCTAAACCAAAACATGGCAGAAATCTATGAAGTCACTGACATGTGAACTGAGTCATGTTGGTAGGTGTCGACTACCTGGTTGGGGTCCGTGAGATGATAATAATCGATGGTTAGAGACCTTGAATGACATGGCTCAAGGTCGTTATCAATGGTGCAGATGCATCCATTCTTTGTGTTCTGTCAAACTCTTATCTTCAGAATTCCTCATCATCTCTTTCTCAGGTTATCTCACTGAACTATACTTCTTAAATCACATCTTTTCTCCCTAATATTCTTCATTGCCGCTAATCCTTATAATATCTCCACCACTATGGGATTTGAACTGACAGTTGCGTCTCTTTGCTAATGTGGTATGGCCATCTGAACTGAATTCTAGGACGTGCATTTCATCCTATTTGAGACTCGCCTGTGTCTGGACGTACTTGTTAATGTTTACTCTGCGACTTGAACTCAATCAAACCAAGTCTATTCATTGGTTTGTATAAGCTTTAAAACATAACAATTTTATAACGTTTTATTGCATAAATTTTATTTGTTTTTTTTCGCTTCTATTTTACTCTGTAATATTAGTATTTGTCAACGATGTATACGTAAAATGGATCATCATTGTCCATGGATAAATAATTGTGTTGGTGAAGAAAATCAAAAATACTTTGTTTTATTCTCTGTAAGTAATGATATTTTTAAGTGTTTTTATTTCCTTGATTGTTGTTATACTTATGCTCGATAAAGATATGACTAGATAATAATGAACGGAACGTAATCCAGTGGCACGTCTGTTCTCTGCCGCCTAGCTCAACTAACTAGACCAAGAAGTTCAAGGTCAGCAAGAAGATTTTATAATCTACAAACAGTCCTGAGGGAACGTATTAACAAGCATTCTATTCAGGCGTAATGTATACAGTACAAAAAAAGGCGTCGTTGGAAGAATTACAAAATAGCACATTAAAAGCGAAAACTAACCAGTAAGGTTTATGGTTATAGGATTTAATATGTCCTACAGATGTACTGCTAGGACTGTAAACGCAATTTTCGAGAATACACAATCGGTGGGAAAGCTATATTGAGAACAAGGACAACCTGGCTTTAAACTTTATCTGTTTCGACCAATATGGGGTGTCTGATAGAAAATGAATAAAATTATGAGTCACAATAAGATAATAATATCCTTCAATTGATAAGTCATATGCAACAGAGATAGTTTACAGACACGTCAGACCAGATCACGTGTGAACGCTTAAACCACGATTTGATTGGTTAGTTATGGACATAACTAACAATGGTTCTGAATGTAAGAAGAGGTAGGTGCTTTCGACGTGAAAATAAGTAATTCGAATTCCCAAAAATAAATTTTACTAAAGAGTATTATCAAGCGATTTTCGGGAATCCTCCAACAATTTTTGACAGTAATTATCCAGTGTTCTTGTTATTAATCTATAATTTTTATATTTTTTCATCGAAAATTTAAGTCATAATTGAGTCGAGCCCAACAGATTAGTAATCTGTTGACTAAATATTACATTACTTATTATTCTAAGGTCGTTTCCTATTCAATATATCTAATACTTTCAATATTGTCATTATGGGATTGTGCGAAATTGTTGAGTTTCATCGAAATCTGTCAATGTTAAACCAGTATTGGAAACCTGGAAGCACTGGAAGGTCGTTTCGTCCTAGTGCGGGGTTCATTAACAATGCCTGCCCATGACCTTACAGGTAGGAATGGAACCAAAAACCTTCGTGTTACGCGTGCACGTAAACACGTCACTTGATATGCTTGAACTATTACGACTTTACCTTAGTCGGAAAACAAGAGCGTGGATCGAGGATCCGGCGGCACAACAGGCTACCCTAATCCAAGTGTCCTAAACCCCGACTGAGTAAAAGAAGAAGACTTGATATGAAGTAGAACCTGTATTCTACAAGCATCCAAAAAGTTCGAGGTCGAAGTCCAGAAGATAATCAGGATCCCTTACAAAAGATTCGGGTCATAAAACGTTACAGATAATGCGTATTTATACAGTTAGGTTGCATAAGGAACAACATTGAAGTCTGTGACATTGATAGTCAGGATGACCAATAGGAATTGAGCAATAGAATTAGATTTACAAATAATTCTCTTAGGATATTGAATGAATATCCTAACACTTCGTTCTTGCTTTCGAATGCTTATTAAACTGTTGACCACTCAATCGATGTCTATCAGTAATGATAAAATAGAAAGAAATACAAAATTATGTTTATAATGAAACTTAACTACTCGATTTTCTGTTATGTTTTCTAAATAAATAAACTGATATCTGGATTAATTATTTTCATGAAATTAAGAAAATAAAATTTTCCTTTACATTAAAATGATCAATTAATCAATTTTTTCTTGTTATTGAATTTTATTTCCAATTTTTTTTCTTCAGCTGTACATTTGCCTTATGTCATTTACTGCTGTTGGAATGTGTTTTTATTTTCTTTTCCAATGTTTGGGTTCTGATTGGGATGGTAAGTAGGTGGTTATTATTATTATTATTATTAGTGTAGTAATTTTATTCAATGTGTTCCGTGTAACAAATTTTCATTACTATGTTTATAATCTGTTTTGTTTTTGTAATAAATGCTTTATGGTTGTGAAACATGGCCAGTCTGAGTAGAAGATATTCGTAGGTTACTGGTTTTCGATCATAGGTGTCTTTGAAGCACTGCTCGTGTAGCATGGGACAACTGAGTAAGCAATGCTGTCATTAGGAAACAGGTGCTAGGTAAGGATGGCAGGTCAATAAATAAAGCATTGAAACTTCATCAGTTGAGGTGGTTGGGACGTATGCCTAACCACCGACTGCCTCGTCGAGCTATATTTTACGGTGTAGGAATAGGTTGGACGGAAGCTAGGAGCGGCCAAATCAAAACATGGCAGAAATCCATGAAGTCACTGACAAGTGGACTGAGTGGGTGACGACTACCTGGTTGTGGTCGACGAGATGATAATAATCGATGGTTAGATACCCTGAATGACATGGCTCATAATCGTTTGCAATGGCGCAGGTGCATTCATTCTTTATGCTCTCTCAAATCCTAAACTTCTTAATTCCTCATCACTTTGTCTTTTTATTTCTAAGTTTATTTCACTAGATACTACTCCCTGAATAATATCGTTGAACCCTAATCTCTTCAATTACTGCTAATGCCTTTACTACCTCTACTACTATGAGATTTGAATTGTCAATTACATTTCTGTGCTAATGTAGTATGGCAGCATGAACTGATGTACGTACGTATGGAGTTCTGCGTCGCTATTGATTGATTGATGATTTGATAAATACTTGCAGAAAATTTATCTTTTGTTCTGCATAATTAAGTTTGTCCAAAGTATTCTCACCTAATAGTAATGAGAATGTCAATATTAGAAATTAATTTAAAATTAGTATTGTTACAAAAGAAAATGGTTTAACAAAATCTATTTTGCAAGATAGGAGGGTTGTGGGAATTGCAGAGTTACTTTTCGAATACATGAATCGATGAATGTTAGACGACCATTAGCATCTCGGGAGCTCTGGATGACCGTTTCGTCCTGGTTTGGGACCAAAAACCGTGGATTGACCGAAGCTAGACATTAACACCCTTAGATACCGGCTCAGTAGTTCAGAGATTAAACGTTCACATGCAAGATCGAAAATCCTGGGTTCGAATCCTACGAGATGTGGGAATCGTGGATGTGCACTGCTGATGAGTCACATACCAGGATGAAACGGTCGCCCAGTGCTTTCAGGTTTCTAATGGTGGTCTAATTTTGATCGATTGAGGATGTCGAAAAAAATCCATATTATTCAAGTAGAATACGCTCATACACACGTATTTAAATTTAAACATACCTAGATGACTGTTGGGAACATTAGGTCCTCATAACTCACTTGATAAATGTCCTAATTTCGGATTTTATTCATGGGCTTATCAATTGACCTTGAGATTACATTTCCCACCAGGAAAATCCTTGACTGTGATAGGTTATGTTATGTTATTTAGGTACGCTATTTTTTGGCTCTCCTAAGGACGTTTCTATGTTGTATAAATAAACTCGATTTGTGTGCTTGAGATCACTATATTTTATGGATGATTGGAGAGTACACTTTTTACGCCATATCAAGACCTGTTCTTCACTTAGACGGGGCAACGGATTAGAGTAGCCTATCGTGTCACTAGGTCATTGTCTTGTTCTGGTTTATCGACTAAGGTGAACTCGTAATAGTTTCAAGCATATCAGTTGACGAGCATAAGATTGACTGCTAAAAATAATGAAACGAAATGCTATAAAGAGCCTCTAGCAATTGTATACAGTCTTCCGTAAGAAAGTACCAATCTGAAAGACATTTCTACCAATTATCTCCCAATAAAAGCCTTTTTGTAATCTTATGTATTTTCAAAACCTTTTTTGTTATCTTTAACGTTTAAGCATTTCACACACTTCCGAGGGTTAACAGTTAAGAAGTCATTCATCATCAAGAGAGTTTGAGTATTAAGAATTATTTTTTTCTGGTTAGCGTTTTTTTTAACGAATTAGTGTTTCCTACAAGATGGTATTGCTAATCCCATGCTTAACCCTCTTCCTTTATCCGGACTTAGGAGCGGCAGTAACCCCAGAGAGGGGTTCCAAGTGGAGTTAAAACACAATAATAAATGACAAGTAATTACGATAAACTAAACAGTAACCATCAAAGTAATGTCCATTCGTTTGTCAACATGAAATAGTTAATCAAGTATACTTTTATTTATATGATACTATAATATAATAATTTTTCATATCACTGTTAATTCAATTCATTATACAATGTCACATAATTTGTTTGATCAAATCAATAAAATTTCATAGTTTATTTCCATTCAAATTTCTATTACACTAATTATATACTGTTCAATAAAGTTCAACAGCTGTTATTTATTATTGAAATTTAAGAATATGTGATGATTTTAACAATTCGTATCTTATATTTTTAGAAAAATTAATTTATGATACTTCTTCTTGTTTAAATGAGATAAACATGTTATGCATTGTATTCGGTGTATTTTTAAATAATCACTCTTAAACCGGAATTACCTCATTTTGTTCATTAGATATATTAGCATAGAATAAATGTAAAGATTTATTTTTGTTGGGTAGCTGCGAAATATCCCTCGACAAAGTCTATAGAGGCCCAGAAATGCCAGGAAGCGTTTCATTTAATCAGCGTTAGATAAAACATTAGCAGAAACATCTGAAAAAATACTGAATCACGTGCTATGATTCTGATTGGATAGTTAGCCACACTACTGCCATATTTACTATGGTTTTTGCATACTCCAGGAACCCAATATCATGGATAACTCTATCAATACCGACAGTTTTCTGTACATAAACTAACGTTGGATTAAGAAGTCCATCTTGTACTTCGCGCGTTTTCTCTTGTATTTAAGTTGCAGTATAGATTTAGTGTGGGGTTATTGTAAGCCGATAAGAAAACTTATCAGCGGCGACTAGAAAAACAAGGATAAATCTTATTTTTGGACAATTAGAAGAGCCTACATGGAGCGTCAGAAGAAATCATCTGAACATTAACAAATGATAATTATCGAGACACTTATGCTGAAAATGTGTCTTCCAGTAAATCACTGCATCTGCTGAACTCCATGTAACACTTACAGATTCAGTCAATAATACCATTCATAAACTTCACTTTGATAATCCAGCTGATGTTACTTTTGACTCATGGTTCAAAAAGTAGGAGAATATGTTTCATATTAATCTTTGCAGACTGAATGAGAAAAATTGAAACAGCGCAACATGCACGCTAAAATAATTCTATGCTTCTGAAGAAGCATCGGGACTTAAGTTTTGATAAAACAATGAAAACCCTGTCTCAAATCATTGAAGAACATTCGTTCATCTGTAGTGTCCGCTTCTAATCCCTTAAGGTAACGAAAGAACTGGGAGATGACTGGGTGAAGCATGCAGGTATTGTGAACCGAAAATGTGAGAGGTTCGAGTTTTCTTCTATGACCAGCAAACTTGAACACTGACTAGCGAGTGACAGAGGCTAGCGAATTCGATGCGTGGTTGAGAACAAAGGCCGATTCAAAATGTTCAGTGTAGTCGACAGAAAATAGTCGCAAGTTCAGGGTATACAAAACTATCCCGATGACAGCTGTAAACCCTCATCTCCATGCTAGCTTTTTGGTAGTCGGCGTTTTAAAAGGTTTTATCTGTTGGAAATCCATCGTTGTACTATAAGTTCCCGAAAAAGGCATAAAGAAAGTTACTGTAACGGTAAAAGTCGCCACTATCAACCAAAAGTGTATTCTATAAGATCTAAACCACAAACAGTCAAAGTAACAGTGGCTTTTAACTGTAGAGGCTCAGTTAATTATAGAAAATATGTTCCTCTAGAATTTAATGTTCTTGATGCTCCCTTACAGCTGTACACGGCTTCTGACATACCGCCTATTAATAGAAGAACATGAGAGAAGATCGGGAGAACAAAAATTAACCAAACTGAACAATCAGCCAATAGTGCATCTGTGGGTTGTTAAACATTATAGGTGGGATACACTGCGAAGTCACGGCCAAAAAAATAACTGAGAAAGTGGTAATACTTCTGACAGAACATCCACCTCTTGATTCACTGAGACTCGACTGGATAGAAAAGTTGAAACGGACAGATTCCCCAGTTAACTTGATTTGCAACAATATCGAGGCTGTGCAAGTTTACGAGAAGAACTTGGTCAGTGCGTTATCAAAACGACAAAATAGTATTTAGTGATGGTCTTGGAGAGCTCACCAAACCGAGAGCTACCCTTCAATGCGAAGCGAAGCCAGTATTTAGAACAAAAGCACCTGTGCCAAATGCGAACCTCCCGGCAGTTGAAGAGGGACTTCAGAAAATTGGAGTAGTTGAGCCAGTAAATTTTCTGGATTTGGGTGTTCCAATAGTGGTAGTTAAGAAATCCAACGGCACTATCCCCCTGTGTTCTGATTATTCAGCCGGTCGAAACGAAGCTCTAGAGGCTCATCTGTATCCTTTACCTTTGCCTGGAGATATCTTCGCAAAGCTAAATGGAGGTAAGATATTCACCAAGTTGGATTTATCGGTAGCTGACGAATGCAAGAATCGGAAATATATATTATGTCAAATTGTACTGCCGGTGAGACAATGGACAACCGATCCAGTTTATTTAGCTGTTTTGGAGTGCCGGAGAGTTTTTAGTGACGTGGATGATAAATTGTTCATGAAACCATACTATGGGAAAAATCAGCGGGAACTTGGGATTGCTGAGAAGAGACTAGAAGGCTTTGTACAAAGTTCGTAGGGTGTTTGGAACGTGCATTAGGACATAAACACTTCCATAAGTGCAAAAAAGGAATGAACACCGAGGATAAATAAGCGAATCTACCACTTGAGATTACCATCGATATCCCAATGATGAGAAACTTCAAGGACCCTATAAAGAACAAAGAAAGTAAAAGTTGGATAATGAAAACATCCAAATAGCTGGAAATTCTCCGCAAATCAATAGTCAAGCTACTAGTTGATCCAAAGAATTAGTTCAATATTTAAAAGACGGGGGTTGTTGAGGGCGCCGAAATATTCTTCAACAAAGTCTATGGAGGCCCATAAATGCTGGAAAACATTTGACCTAATCAGCATTGATTCGAACCTTCACTGGAACATCTGTAAATTGCTTAATCACGTGTCACGATTCTGGTTGGGCACTCAGCCACACCGCTACCATATTTATTATTGTTCCCGAACCTTCTATAAGACCGAGATCACGGGTAACTTTTTCTGCACATAAACTAACCTTGGCGTAAAGCGTTGATCTGGTACTTTGTGCTTTTTCTGTTGTGTTCAAGTTTTCATTGATGTTTTTCAACAAGTAATCATTGTTACTGGTCACTTAACTGATGTAAATGTCTGTCTTTTTTTCCAGTTTGTCAACCAAATCCAAGTGCTACTATAATAGGCAATTTTAGTCCAATAGCTTGTAGCGCGTTTGTCCTAGGATTGATATGTGAATCATTCATGTTTGGGATTTTCACTTTAGTTATGTGTATCAGCCAATTGTGCGCTATTTCAAATGATGAAACCGTAAGTTGTTGCATTCATCTGTTCTGTTGTTTTAATAATCTTAGTAATAATATAAATCTTCCTTTAATTTAATGAATGTGTTTACTGTTCAAGTTTATATTGATAATATTGTGCAGATAGGAAAATGAAAACTTCACAGTTTAGCTTAGGACAACCGAGTAAGCAATGCTATAGTTAGGAATCAAGTACGAGGTAAGGATGGCAGATCAATAGATGAAGTATTGGAACTTCATCAGTTGAGGTGGTTGGGACATGTGTTACGTATACCCAACCACCGACTACCCCGACGAACTATGTTTCGTGATATAGGAGCTACGGGCGGCCAAACTAAAACATGTTGGTAGATTCAGGCTGCCTGTTTAGGGTCCGCGAGATTATAGTAACCGATAGTTAGAGACCTTGAACGACATGGCTCAAAATCGTTTGCAATGGCATAGGTGCATTCATTGTCTCAAATTCTAACCTCTTGAATTCCTCATCATCTCTCTTTTTAAAGTTATCCCACTGAATTATACTTCTCGAATCATATCTTCGAACCCTACTCTTCTCCATTACCAGTAATACTTCTACTATCTCCACCACTATGGGATTTGAACTGACAATTGCGTCCCATTAACATTATATATTCTGTCATTTTAAATGGAATACTTCATGTAACATTACTCTACTTTCTGTCAGTGAAACTTGATACTCGTTAACCTTTCTAATTTAAAAAGCAACAGTAGAAGAGAAGGTCTATTTAGCTATCAAATAATATACAATTTCATTTATACATAATATACATCCCTCTTCCTCCCCTCCACTTTAGAAAACAAATCTTTTTCTTGACCAATTATATATGCGTTTGTCTCTTCTTTTAGGACATTTCTAACTGTCATCAAGTGACCTCCTGGTTCAGATTTAAAATAAGAATTAAAGAATACTATTTAGAATTACGTGATGAGAAGTGGTGTGTAAATAATCAAATAGTGAAGAATATAAACGGGAAGAGGCGAAAAAAAGACATAAAAATACATGATGTGGAAATACTACTACTACTGATAATAATAATTATTATTATTATTATAATCATACTAATAAGTAAAATCGTTTATTAAGTTATATCCGGCCTGGAAGAGACAGAGATATCATTAATTTCGTCTGAACACATAAATTGGGCTTGAATGTTCAGATTCCTATGGCTTCTGCTTTATGAAGGAGAAAGGGATTGAACTACGTTGAAAAATGATAGAGGTATACGATAGATCACTGGAAATTATTTAGTTCTATCTATATTATGATCGCTATCAATCAGATATGGCCAGATGGAGCTACGTATTGTTTTTGTCTGGACTTTTCCAGGAGATGTTCACTCATTCGTTGGTTAGGCTGCCTGTTAGTAGTAAACCCGATATAGTTATCTTCACAGGAGCAGCTGAATTTGTAAATGCACATTGAGGAGGCCAATTCAAGTAACTTACCCTTCGTTTAAGTAGTAGACATCACTGATTGACTTCAAAAAGTCAACGCAAGATTAATAATTGCACAGAATGTTTTACTCATTGCTTTCGCGCTAGTCTAGCCTGCAGAATATCGCTAGCCACATCTCCGTTGAATTTTATTTCGGAATGGATTGAGACTTCTTTCAAACAGCAACGTGACAATAAGTTTTGAATCTAAATTTGTCTATTATTTAATTCTCTAATATTATTCAATAAAGACTATTCACTTCGATCAATTCATTGAACGATTTGTATGTTTTGATAATAACCAGAAAATAAGATTCTAGGAAAGTAGCATTAAAAAAACAATAAATGTATATTGATCAGTTTACACATTTTTAATCTGTTAATGAAAACTAATCAATTGTATAATGAATTAATTAATTCATTAAATCGAATTCATAAATTATGTGATAGATAATCCACTGCTTAGTTGAGATAGATATATTTTAGTGCAAACAAAACATCGCATAAGCTAATAAAACACTAAAATCTATACTGATTAATAATGGTGAATTGATTTTATTTACTACAGTGAAAATTTCAAGTACAGTTAAAAATCTCAATTGACTGATCCCAGCTGAAAGATGTTGGTTTTATTGAGTTGTTGTAACGCATGCACATGAACACGTCGTTTTGATATGTATGCTTGAATTATTATTACGAGTTCACCTTAGTCGGAAAACGAGAATGAGCAGCAAGAATCTGGCGACACGACATGCTTGTGTGAAATAAACTCATCCAACAGAATCCGTATTTGGCTGCTTATTACATATACTGGGTTCGCGTAAGCATGATATACGGAAACCGAAGAGAAGATCTATTTCTCTATTAATCTTTCATACAACTAAGTCATATCGTGGGCCACTAACTATATATATAATGTATATATATATATATATATATATATATATATAGAGAGAGAGAGAGAGAGAGAGAGCTCGGTATTCGTCGATTAGCATTCAGTTATTCTTCACCATACTCAGTACTGTGCTCAACTGAATCGCTGCTAGTAATCAGTCATACAATTTAAACTTCGTGTTATGATTCTAAAAGAAATTCGATAATTGCTAGCAGTATTGGTTTTTACGTACTAAATGACATGGTTTAGAAATGATACTATATTCAGTCTATATTTACCTTTAAATCTTGACTTCCAACGTTTCTCTATTATATGCCTTTGTCTTTTCCAATCAATATGCTCACGGATAACTATTTATCCTTACTATTACATTATTCTGATTTCTTAGCTGTTTCTCTTACTATAAATTCAACTCGCTGTACCAATGTGTGATATGACAACTTAGATTAAAGCATATATGTACCAGGCGTAAGATTAGTTATGACTGACAATCTTGTTAGGATACTCACTAAAATATCCTACGAAGAATCATTTTGTAAGTGTAAATTTCATTGGTCGACTCCTATTGGTCAACATTATGATCGTCCTGACTATCAATGCTACTTCAAAGGTTTTTTCCTACTAGTCCACTTAACTGTCAATGTCACAGACTTCGAAGCTGTTTCCTATTCGACCTAAATGTATAAATACGCACTACCTGTAACGTTTTATGACCCGGATCCGAATCCCTAGTCCGGGATTCTGATTCTCTTCTGGATGCTTGTAGAATACATGTTCTACTTCATATCAAGTCTTCTTCTTCTTTTACTCAATGGGGGCTTGGGACAATCGAATTAGAGTAGCCTGTCGTGTCGCCCGATCCTCGCTCTTGTTTTCCGACTAAATATAATAATTCAAGCATATCAAAACGACGTGTTTACGTGCATTCGTAACAAATGCCTCCTTTGAAAAAAATTGAGGTTAAACAATATTGTTGTTGTAACTAACTTCAATATAGCATTTCTACTTATAGAAATGATAAATCGATTATTGTCAGACTAACATTAAAAACTTGGGAGCACTGGACGGCTGTCTCATCCTAGTGTGAGACTCCTCAATGGCAATAACAGTGTTTCTCATTCACGAATCTCGCTCGCGGTCATTTCTAGTACTGATCAATTCATCATTTCAATTGAAACTCCAATAACCTGTATAATGAAAAAATTTCCCTAATTACTGATTGTTTCATTTTATTGCTTACTTACTTTTTTTCAACAACAACAAACATAGGGTATTGAAAATCTCAAAAAAGAACAATCATCATGGGAGAAACAATCGGCTAGAAAAAATTTTATCAATGCTTTCGGTTCACCATTTTCATGGCGTTGGTTTAGTCCATTCTCACCACCTCCGTCTATTTCGAATATTATTCCAGGATTGCCAGATAATGTTGATTTAATCAATATGTTATATTTAGCTGAACAAAATGCATGTCGATTGAAAAATCCCAATGAATTTCAGTTAGATTTTAATCAGATTGGAGGAGGATATATTGTTTAATAAAAAAAAACAATGATCATTTTTACTTTTGTTTTTTCCCTGGTAATTTTATCAAAACAAAATCATTTGTAAGAAGAAAAAAAATAGTGGAAGAGAAATGAAAAGTTCACCTGTTTTTTTTTCATTCTAATCTTTGTATTAACATTATACTACTTGCAAGTATGACTTTTTTGTGTATTAGATCTAATCATTTTCAATGTTCTTTTCCATATATGTGTGTATACCTTAAATTCATTGAGATATGTTAGGACTCCTTGTTTGGTTTTTTTATATTTTGATAGGATTGTACAAGTAAAACTACTAAATCTTCATTGAATTCAAATCATGTTAAGATCTATTTCATCACTTGATGTAATCAATTCCGATGACAGTTCGCCATAAGTTCTTACTCGACCAGTATTGTTCGAATAGAGAGCTTGTATAATGTTAATGTACTTCTTTGGTACACTTTTTAATGACAAATTGCTACAGAACCTCACGATCGACGGAGTCGAATGCCGCTTTAAGGTTGAGAAATGCGAATATGGTGGGGCATATGTACGTGTGTTTGTTCCAGGACTTGACGTAGTGTGATTATATAGTCCATACATCCAAGTCCAGGTCGAAAACCGGCCTGGTTTTCTCGTGTCCGCTCTTCACGAGCTTTCTATAGGCGTCGGAGTATTACTGAGGTCAATATTTCCGATACTATATTAGTTAGGATTATACCTCTGTAACTGTCACAGGAGGACTATTGTTCCTTTTTTATAAATTGGGACAATCAGATGGGATTACGTCAAGTTACAAAATTCTACCTTAAGATCTCAGTCAATCTAACTGCTAAAACTGGGCCACTATCCTTAAAAATCTCAGGGAGTAAGTCTGTCAGGCCCTGAAGCTCGCACTCGTTTCAGATTTCCTATAGCTTCGTGGGGAACAAAAGTATGTTTGAGGGCCGATTGAACTGATCCCTAATGTGTTCTGGATTGAAAATAAATAATAAGCTCATCCTTTTCCGAAATAGTCTCACATTCGCATTCGTAATTCCAATTTCCTTGATAAGGCAGAACAGTTGTCTACTGTTACCTATTAATGCTGCTTTTTCCATTCCTCTTGCTTTCTCTACCACTGTTTGCGACCAGTGCGTAGACTTGTTATCAGCCAACGCTTAAGCTGACATCGCTCTTCGTTATGTTCAGAGCCAGACTTGTGGAGTCTCTGAGCATCTATATGGCTTATCTTTGTAGCATATATCGTGGACATCATTGTATGCTACCTCACGGTGGGCATCCCTTACATCTCTGCTTGACTGTTCTTCTAGTTGTTTCTGAAGTTTATTCTTAGCTATGCTATCATTAGGTTGAACTTTAAGAGTTTTTCTTGCGGTATCTTTCCTGCGTCCAGTAAGCCACAAGCAATTACGCGCTCGTACTAGAGAATGATTTGAAACTAAAAAGTGCTCCAAAATGAGCGACAGTCTTCAATAGAGCTTCTCCACTGATGGCTAATAGCGATCCGGTCTATTTGGATCCATCGCTGGTTGGCTTTGGGGGTCGCCAGGTCAATAAATGTTTTACTTTATGCGTAAAGTTAGTGTTTGCTAGAAATAAGCGATTATCTGAGAATAGCTGCAGTAGACGCTCGCCATTATCTGTTCGATTAGCAGCGACACCATAAGATCCACCCATGTCTAACAATACTTGAGCATTAAAGACACCAGCCATTATTACCTAGTTCCTATTTGACACAAGGTCCTGACATCAAAAGCTGCAATATGTAGTTCAGAACGGGGTTTCAGGAGAGCATGAATAACATTTTGTTAGATCGAAACGTCTACATCAGCGGCGCGAGTTGACAAACGAACGATATTTTGGTCGTGGCGATAAGAGAGTTATTAGAAGGTGTAGTAAGGACTTGTTTGTGACCGATTAGTTCTCGTGTGCTGTTACTGGTATGAGGGCGATTCCAATTACCGTTATATCAGTACAGCAATAGAAGTCAGTAATAACAGTGCTGACAGGTAGAAAAATAAGCAAGCGTATCAAATATAATTGTCTTTCTAGATGCTTAATCAAAGGATAGTAGTAAACTGTAAGATTTTTGATTTTTATTGCGAATTTCAATTAAAAAGTCTACATTCGTTTAGCGGCCTAAGGATTTTAAAGTACGATACAATGTTTAATGCTCGTTAACATAACAATACAATGTTATAGATGGTAGTCTGGTGCTTGTAATATGAATCTGACTAAAGTGTTGAAGGCTCACATCATCGTCTGGTTCCCTTTATCTCGTTCATAAGTTCACGTCTACACCCAACGTTGCTTGTATGTAGATAAGGTAACTGTTTATACATATCGATTACTTGATGGCCCTGAAACTAGCTCCCTACATACGCGTTGATAGGTGATCGATCACTTAAATGTAGGGGTTAATGAGTTTATCTAGGATTTATTACACACTAGCGAAACATAATTTTTATTGTGTAGCGAGTTAAGAGACTCCCTTATTCCGTGGTACGACCGAGAGTGCGAAGTGTCCGCTATCTTCTAAATGCCTGACATGATTACGCTCATAAAGCTTCTGTCGGGGTAGTCATACTCACTACGTTTTCGTGGCAAGGATACCATTCACGAAATTGAATGATTAAAAAGCGAATGTCCAGCGCCAAAACCTGGTTTGTGGTATAGGCTGTAGGACTACGATGCCAAACCAATGATGCATATGGGCTCCACGATCACGATGGAAGGATTATTGTATGAGCATACTGTCGGTGACCGGCTACCATAGAACTGCATCTACCAACCTTGCTACACTGTCTTGTGATGTAGACCTCTGAGTCGAAAGCTTAGAGTGGTCCCTCAGGAAAGTACCCTGCTCCAGCTTGAACACCGCATCAGCCCACCTGAAGTCACGTATGCCGTGCAAAATGTGCTTCAACGATAGCACACCAATGTAGATCAAACAACTGATATGATTGGCTACTTCATTAGATAGTCTGAATATCAGTCTATCCAAGAATCTAAGCGAAGTTTTAAGAATCAGTCCTATATCCCTCCAGAAAGCTTCTTTTGCGTGCGAATACCTCGAGACCATATGACACCGTCTGGTTCTGTCAGAGTTGATGTCGCGCACTAAATGCTAGAATGCGTGCCTCGCTAATCAACTAGATCACCGTTAACAGTCGATTATGTGCTGCTAGGTCAGAAAGCCTCACCAAAAAAGTGAGAACCGACGTCTTCCCCTCGACAGACAGCAACCCAGATCCACTGCCTCTATTGACCACTGGTATGTTTTATAATCTTTTGCAGAGTGGCAATAATTCCATTAGTGTCACGACGTTGAAAAACCGACCGTGGTGACTTGAACATGTATTACAAAAGTTGCTCCATCGAACTCCAGTTTAAGGACTGGTTGACAGGGCTCAGATTTGAAAGACAGTGATGATCTTGTTGTATTGTTCCTCATATTAATGAGAGGAATTCCTTCGACGGAAGTTTTTCTAGTTATATTTTTACCAACTGAAATGCTTCTATCACTATTATTATTTAACTCTCATACACTAATTTTTGTTCTCTTTTTGAATAATACTCACTTTTTCTGTTTCATCACAACCATATTTGTTGTTATGTGATGGCATAGTTTTGATGCTTCTTTGTATTAATGATTATGTGCTCAAATAAATAAATGTGTAGGGAGTAAATACAAATCGACAAACATCTGCAAATTGTGTTTGGAAAACTGCATACTATTAGAGTCGTAATTAAATAAGTATTACGCCACCACGATAACAGAAATTCTAAATGACCGAAAGTAGGATTTTTGAACCAGCTATAATGAAGGCTAACTAGGTGAGAAATTCACTGTAAACATTGACCGAGTTTCCGGTCTTCAAGTAAAGAACGTTTAACTGGATATCAAGTAATTGGTACATGTGTGGTGCGCGCTACTTATAAGTAGTATATGACGCGAGTGAAAACGTAATGTCTGGCAGCAGCAGGAGATAAATACTGTTGAGAAGATTGAGGAGCTGGAGCGTGAGATAGCAGCATTACGAGTAAATCATAAAAAGAACGATAAATGTTACGCTTGTGGAGAGGCAGGACATTGGAAGATAAACTGTCCAAGAAGACAACGACGAAGATATTTTAAACATTATAACATGTGTTCTTTCCACCCTAGGAATCTGGAGGTTCTTGCACTAGTAGATAGAGGGGCAATTTATGCCAGAGTGTACATAAATGAACAGGAGTTAGTGTGTTTGATCGACACAGGGGTAGCTATATCGTTAATAGGCAAAGAGCAATGTAAGACAATTAAACCATGTACATTAGCTGTCCACACCATTGGAGGGCATATGCTAGAGGTGTTGGGGGTATCTAACAGTATTGTAAAAATGAGTGGAGCTGAGATAAAATTTCCGTTCGTGGTAACCACAAGCTTATCAAGACCGATATTAGGAGATTTCCTAAGAGAGGTAAAAGCGATAATTAACTTAAGAAGCGGTAAAATGGTCACAAAGAATGGTTCATTGCCAATACACGAAAGGAGCGAAGTGGCTGAAATAAGAGTGACAACGGACGTCTCAACCAAGAAACCAAACATTAACGAGTTATGCACAAAGTATGCGAAACTGTTCACTGGAGATGGGGAGCCGTATGGATTTTGTGACAAAGTAAAGCATGAAATTCCTATAAAGAACGACCGAGTAAATATATTTACAACACGTCGTGTCCCGGTGCATTTACAGGCCGAGGTAAATCGACAGGTCCAGGAAATAATGAAGGAAGGCATAATTGAGGAAGCAGACAGCCCGTATAGCTCACCGATACTCTTGGTAAAGAAACCCAATGGAAAGTATAGATTTTGTGTCGACTTTAGAGAACGGAATAATATAACAGACCTGAAACCGTGCGCAATGCCAACAGTAGTAGAAACATAAGATCGGCTACAGAATGTCACGGTGTTTACAGTGCTGGATTTACGGTCAGGTTATTGGCAACTACCTATAAAAGATAGCGATCGCAGCAAGACAGCACTTACTATACGGGATAAACAGTATCAATTTAAACGAATGCCGTTCGGGTTGGCGGGTGCACCGTTTACTTTCAGAAGATTGATGACGCTGCTGCTTAAGAATCTAGATAATGTTGAGGTAAACGGCGACGATGTAGTTGTATACAGCCTGACGGAAACAGATCACGTCAAGCATGTGGAAGCAGTCTTAAAGCGAATTGACGAATTTGGGCTTCGAATTAATAAGGAAAAGTTGCAGATAGCGAAAAACAGCGTCATATTGTTGGGACATAAAGTGGAAAATGGAGAAGTAAAGCCATTACCAGAGAAAATTCTTACCATAAAAAATATTCCAGTACCTAATTCGAAAAGGAAGTTGAGACAGTTCCTGGGAAGAGCGGCGTTCTATCGTCGGTTTATCAAGAGTTCCAACGAAATAGCAGCGCCCTTATATAAGTTGCTGAGCAACACCAAGTTTAAATGGACTGATGCTGCCGAACAAACGTTCAACCGAATCAAAAACATGCTAGATGATCGTCAGATGACGCTGCGACTGCCTGAACCCGGTAAACTGTTTACAGTGGCCACAGATGCAAGTGATCATGGTATAGGTGCGGTATTGAGTCAGGCTGATTGAGTGGTGGAATACGCAAGTCGCGTTCTCACACCCGCCGAGCAGAAGTATTCAACGATCGAAAAGGAGTGCCTAGCAATCGTGTGGGCAGTAGAGAAATGGAGACCGTACCTTTTAGGTAGACGATTTCACATTGAGACTGACCATAAACCCCTGCAGTGGTTGAGAACAGCAAGAGACCCCCGAGGGAAGTTGGCGCGGTGGATGATACGTCTGCAAGAATACGACTTCAGTATCGGACATGTTCCAGGAAAAGATAACGTAATGGCGGATTACTTGTCAAGATCAGACATGGAAGATGACCTTCCAGTGAAAGCATACGCGGTGAGTAGTTTAGATGGAGACCCATTAGAACTCATCCGGCAACAGAAAGCCGACCGGAACCTTCGAGAGGTAATCAGAGTGATAAAAGAAGGAACAGACGTGGACAAACAAACGACGGACAAGGAGGTAATAATGTTACTTCGGCAAAAGAAACGACTGAGAGTGAACACATATGGAGTCCTGACCTGGCAGGACGATGACAAGAATAGGGTGGCTGTAATCCCGAAATACTGGCCGCGTAAGATGATACACGAATGTCACCAGGTAGCACATACAGGCATCGCAAGAACGACGGATTTATTACGACAAAGTGCATACTGGCCGGGCATGAGAGAATGTGGCTCAATACAAGTTAACTTGCCAGTAGTGTCAACTAATAAAAAGCGATAGATACACACAACCGCCGTTACAGTCGATCCCAGTAACCGCAGTCGGTGATCTATGGTCGGTGGATATAATGGGACCGTTTCCACAGACGGCGACCGGTAACTGGTACCTGCTAGTGATGACGGAGCATGCTACACGTTGGATAGATGCCTACCCATTGCAGACCAGCGGGCAAGAACAGTGACCGAAGTGGTGATCCGGCATATTGTAGCGTGCCACGGAATACCGAAAATGATATTAACTGACCAGGGTCCCTGTTTTGAAAGTGACGAGTTTAAAGACCGTCTGAAACAGTTTGGCATCAAGAGGATACGAACTACACCGTATCAACCTCAGACAAACGGGCTTACAGAGAGAAACAACCGGACGTTAAAGGAATGGTTAGCATCTAAAGGAGGAGATTGGGAGAAAGTTACCATTGATTTTGCTGGCGCATCGTTCCTCCATACAAGGTACAATCAAGAAATCACCCTTCTCGCTCATGTATGGCAGACAACCGCGACTTCAATTGCACAATAAGACTTGGCCACAACAACAGAAATGGACAACAGCAAGGTTAAGAAAAGAGAGTAGGGAGGCAATCAGGAACGTGAGAAAGAAGCAAATATCAGACATAAAGAAGGCGAAACAACAGAGGAGAACGTGGAAACCTTTTGCAGTGGGGGACCTAGTAAAGTGTAGGGAACAAAAAAGTAGCATAGCAGGGGGATCAGGGTGGGGAAAGCTGATCCCAAAGTGGGACGGACCGTACGTTATCACGGAGAGACGCGGCGCGGTGTACACGATCCGGAGAGAAGACAAGCAGAAGCGTGTAAATGCCAGTCAACTACAGAGGTGGTTTCAAGATTATCAAGCGTAGGAGTCACGGAAAGCACCAAACAAGACAGCGATACGGCGATCAGAAAGACTACGACGACAGCTTATTAAAAAGGGGGACGAGTGTGGTGTGAGCTACTTATAAGTAGTATATGACGCGAGTGAAAACGTAATGTCTGGCAGCAGAAGATGGGGGAAGATCAAGAAAGGAAGAGTGGGAACACAATGGAATTTGTATGAAACGCACGAATAGTGAAATGTCAGACAATGGATTGATGATGGATATAAGATTTGCAAATTAACGGTTTACGATATGGTTTTCCTATTTTACCAATTAACTCTGTAATTTGCGATAAATACAATTCGGTTGCCCTCACCTGTGTTCTCCTTCGCTACACATGTTCCAGTGAGAGGCACTGTTATAAAACCTGTAGATTAGAGTGAGATACAATATTAAGGATTGTCGTTACATTTGAACTTCAGTAAATGCATCTACGTTGGTGAATGTGACGAAGGATGATTTTCACAACCTTGATCATGTCAGCCCTCCAGAGATTAGAGATGATAATATGCAGAGCCAAAGGTCATCATTGTACTCGTCCTCAATATGACTCACCAATAATTTCGATATTTAGTTTCTTATTAAAATAGGGTTAATCTGAACAGTTTTCTACATTCTCCAGAGTAGGTTGCAGAATACTGGTTGGCGACCTATATTCCATGGGGGAGGGTAACAGACGTAAGTAAGCAATTAATCATACTAAAGATAATCACATATTTTTGTTGTAAACTATCGAAAATTACTGATTTTCAAATAGTAAGATAGAAATCCCTTTCAACAGATATAACAATATTCCTTCTTATTATTATTTTAGAGAATAAATGCTATCAAGCAAAGAAAAAAAATATATGTGTATATATATATATATATGTATATGTATATGTATAAACGGAAATCAAATTAAATAAACATTACGCCGTAAAATAAGTATGTATGTAAATAAAAGATGAAGATGATGAAAGGGAAATGGAGCTGAAAATTTTTTTCGTTAAAAATAATAACAATAATAATAATAATAATTTTAATAGGTAAATCAAGATTTTCTTAGAAAAGAACGATAAATACTACACATATAGGAAATCTTTCAGAATGAATCATCACTGAACACAATGGTGGTTGTGATATATTAGTGTAGATAGTGGTGAGTGTATTTGTTGCACTTGTGTACAATGATTAATTTTGGAATCTTGTGAAAGATTCGCGCTATAGCATTATTACCATTGTTATTACTACTACTACTACTACTACTATTATTATTATTATTACTACTATTAATTATTACTACAATAATAACAAAATCATCGAGCCAATGTAGTAATTAGTTCAGTACACATTTCAAAAAATTCCATTGTTTGATGTCGTTTAGTTCTTCGATTAATTGGTACATCAGGACAATTAACTGAGAACGAACGAGAAAATTCAGCTGTATTCGGACTATCATGGCAATTGGTCGGACTAGCTGATCCAGTGCTACCAGAAAAACTACCATCTCTACTGTAGGTTGAAGTACCCATAGCAGCTGGAGGAGCTATAACAAAAGTGAATACAATTGGGACGTTAAAAGAACAGAAACAAAAATGCCTAGAAAATGTACCTTACACACATATATATATATATATATATATATATATATATATATATATATATGTATTTTTTTTTCCTACCAGCCATTGAGTTGTGAACATTGCATTATTTCATACTATTTTACTTTGTTTTTATCAGTCCCTATTTTTGCAGTTATTCAGTAATTTTTATATTATTGTTATTATTATTATTAGTCTTACTATTTTCCCGTTTACTCAATGTGTCATTGCGAATCAGCACTCGTTTTACATTTTTTAAGTTGTAGATATTTCTCTATTCAACATTAATTTAAATCTATATTATTATTAGTATTATTATCTAATGTTGGTCGTAAATAAAAACAATAAAATGAAGTATAGTGGAAACTTACTTCCGCTACACGCATCAAGGCATACTGACATATTGTTTGAACGTATTCTTCCCATTGCTGCTTCCGATTCTAGTTGACTTTCATCGATACACTTAAAATCAAGGAGATATGATCTTGCATCGACCTATGAAAGTAAGATGTTATCGTTAAAACTCATTGTGATAAAATAGTTTGAATGATGAAATATATATGAATATTAGTAGACTTATTTGTTCTGGTCGGCGTTCTTTTTTAGTAAGTTAGTTTTCTAGGAGAGGGCATCGCTAAGGCCATGCCCAAACCTCCTCTTTTACCTGGGTTTGGGACCAGCAGTAACACTGAAAGAGTTCCAGTTTGCAGAAATCCAAAGGATGGACAGCGATTGGGAAAGAAAAGCCCACGACACTGTAGGTTAGAGAATGCTGGTCATTGGCCTTTGGCTTCACAAAGGGTAACATCAGTTCTCATTTGAATAGAGAAGTCATGACCAGTAGCAAATTAACACAATCAGAAATAGACAAAAAGAATTATATACCATATTTTAGTTAAAAAGGTGTTAGATTAACTTTAAAACTATAAATATTTATGATAAGTTATGTTAAAACATCCAAAAATAATAACTAACCTGATAGAGTTGTAATACAAGTCGAGAATAATGCTGAAGTATTGGATTCCATTTTCTTACGCGTACATTGAAAGGATTTACAACTTTCCATTCATAACCAAGAGAATTCATTGCTTTAAATACTTCATGCATAATATCCCATGGTCTAGATTGAGAACGTATACCTAAATGCCATTTAAAACGTTTCATTCCACTGGCTGCAGCAGCTCCTGCTGCAATAGCCGATTGAGCTTGAGAAGAAACTTGACCTGTAGAATTCAAATCACTTGTACCGGTTGACCCAGTTGTCTGTGATTAGCGAAAAAATAGGAATTTAGATAGTTACGTAAACTGCAAGAGTGCTGGTACAGGTATGAGGGCTGATATCACTTCCCGGCTGCCCATACAGTGGGTGTTTTTTGAGGAACTTGAAAAGGAAGATAGATTAGTGTTGGTCTTAGAGACCTAGGACCGTGACCGCAGAGCCCAAGGGACAACTCCTTGAGGCTGGTAAGACATGACCTTTTTTATGGGAATTTTCCAAAGTGTTAGCTCCACTCTCTAAGCAGACTTGCTGGAGGAGATGGAAATCCATGGGGTAAGGTGAGATGTGAAATTTTAGGGTCAACCTTTTCTAACCCCTTCCTTCTTTGTGAGAAGGCAGCATCGCTGCAGATGCTGGTTGTCCGAGGGAAACACCTAAATGATTTCACACCTCTCTACAGTCAGCAGTACGACTTCGTCCTCAGACCTTGAGTACCTTTTTTTGTCTCATTGTTCTCCAATCGACCTGGCTGGAACATATGTTCCAGCGAATATAGCTCGGTTGAGTCACCACGATAAGCAAGCCCGACCACTACGTCAAGGTAACAGCTACGGTCGAGCAACTACAATTGAATTGCAGGTTGAAATGCAAATTCAACAAACTATGATCTATAAGCAGTCTAAATTATGATTAAAATATCATAAAGATTTTACTTTAAAAAATATAATTTTATTACAAGTGTAGCTGTAAAATCACATAAGCAAAGAAAGTTTATAAGGTGAATAACTAGTCTGCTATTAATTATACAAATTTTATAAAATATCAAACAAAGAGAACAATAATTTTTAAGTTTGCGATTCAACAGCAGAAAATTCAATACCAAAATAATTAGGCTACAAATCAACATTCCAATGCAAAGACTATGTATTGGAATGTTCATTTTTAGATTAATTATTTTTCCGTCCTACTGTATGGGTGTGAAACATAGCCAGTAAAAGAAAATGATATTTGTAGGTTACTGATTACCAATATTCGATCATCAGTAACTTCGAAGCAATGCTCGTGTATCCTAGGACAACTGAGTGAGCAATGCTGGTGTTAGTAAAAGGGTACAACGGAAAGACGGCAAATCAATCGACGAAGTAGTAGATCTTTATCAGTTGAGGTGGTTGGGACATGTGTTACGTGTGCCCGACCGCTGACTGCCTAGACATGCGATGTTGTCTGAGGTAGGGGTAGGCTGGAAGAAAGCTGGGGGGGGGGTCAAATCGAAACATGGCACAAATCCATGAAGTCACTAACAATTGGATCGAGCCATGTTGGTAGATGTGGACTACATGATTAGGGTCCGAGAGACAATAGTAACCGATGGTCAGGGACTTTGAACATCATGGCTCAAAATAATTTACAATGGCGTAGTCAATATCTGTCATTGAAAGGTACACCAAAGAGGAACATTAACCTGGTACTACTGATCGAATCAGAGCATATGGTAAACTATTATCGGGATCGATAATTTTAAATTGCGCATTTCATAGTTGTCCGCTTTCCTAATTTAAATTTTTACATCGTTATGAACATCCTTTTGGAGATAATTGTGACTTTTCAGGGTCTGATCTTTTAACCGGAAGATTAATTTAATGGATTTTCTTACTACATATTAAATCACTGCTCAACGAACTTATACATCATTAGAAGAATGCATAATCGTGCTTTACAACAAGTGCACTACATACAACTCTCAAAAATAGACGGCATATAAGTGATGAGTAACGATTATCAGTTTGAACAAACAGCAAATAAATACTTGTATAATTAATACCTTAAGTCAGCACTCATACTGATTAATACGAGTTATTTAGCTGCAAGGATAACTTTAACCCTACGATGTTAAGTCAGAATACAATTTTCGGATTACCTTCGAGCGATAAACTAATGACAAGAATCGAAATAGGATCATAAATTTAAATTAGGAGATACGGCTAGAGATTGGGGGTTAGAAATAAAGACTAATGTTTTCACCACGTACTAACATCAGCCATAATCCCAAAATGCTATTTAACTATAGGGATAATTGAATTTCATATAAAAAAACAATAGCGGCTATCTTAAATCTGTTTGGCTTATTTACAAATCAAAGTCCTGTACCAATTAAACATTCAGCCAGGTTAATACAATAGAAAAAAAGAAAGGAAATAGGATTTTATTACCGAAGAATCACCCATTGGATCTAATGTCTTCGATAACGGCGGTCCATCGGGCATTCTTTCTGGATGAGGTCGTGTTGGTGAAATACCTCTACCTTTCAATCCAAACATACCACCATTGTTACCATAATTTGGACTTAACGATTGACTTCGACCACCACCAGGTTGAGAATGAGTCAATGTACCACCACTAGTAGGACTATTCGATGTGTTTGATGCTGTTGTTAATGCTGCTGAAGATGATGAATCAATCCCAGTAGCAACATAAAAATTATTCACTTCTTCTGGATTTAGAACTGATCCGAAACGTCTATGGAATTATAAAATAGCAGATGATAAGACTAACACAGAAATATCAAACAACAAAATAAAATATTCTACCATTACAATTTCGTAGTCACACTAACTAGTCAGTCTGTGTAGAAACTACTACAGCAAAATATGTACAGGGGAGTTCAGGTCACCGGTTAGCTATATTCGTTAACTCATTCAACCCGGTAGAGAGTCATGAGCCTAAGTTTGAGCAACACTTCAGGTGTGAGGGCTGATGACAGTACCAACTAGGCCAAACAGCCAGTTAGTCAAATGGAACGCATAACTTGGTATGTACGAGTAAATACTATAGAATTAGTATAGACTTAGTAATTGATTGTTGAAAATCATAACCAATGAGCTACCGCCTTATTGGAGTAAAAAGAATTGGTACAATCCAAAGTATTTCATGCCTACTTCCGTAGGTGACCCATCTAATCAGTGTGCTGGAAAGCACATCTTCAAGATCCTGTAACATAGTGTTTAGATATCTGTGCGTATATATTACAAGATATACAGTTGACTAATCTATGAAATAAAGCTTCGTAAATTTATCGAATCACATAATGTTGTTAAAAAAAATGACTTTTTAGAGGTGTCAGCTTTTTCAATTTCCGAACAGAATACATATCATCATATGTCTGTTATGATGTTGCATAATGTTTATGATATTATTAGTGTTCCGTTTTTTTTAAAAGAAAATCATAATCGATCGTGCTATAATATCTAGCTGTTTATAAACAATAACAGGATATACAAGTTGTTTTGCAGGAAAGACATCATTTAATTGACTGGATCTAGTTTATAACTTGATAAATTTACACATCAGTTAAGCTTATAAGTGAATGATCTTAACTAAATAAAGAATTTAGAGTTGAAACAATTTACTTTGTCTTAGTAGGAAATTTAAACTTGACTTAAAGCAGTATCGATTCAATGTTATTAGTATTATCACAAAGGTATTCTAGGAGAAACGGTAGTCAAATAACAATTGACTAAGGCATGATTTGACTTTTACAAGGATTCAATATACAGATTGTATTTTAGGCCATATAACAAATGAGACGCTATGACTGATAAACATTGGACAAATTTGTCAACTGTTGTTACTTATGATAATTATGACCAGAAAAGCTTGTATATTTACTCTGTTTAGTATAGCTCACACAATCGATCAATAAGAGCGCGGTTAGATTAAGCCAAGTTTTTATGAACATGCTTCATAATATTTTTTATTGTAACATGCCTTTATATGTTTTATGTGTCCAGTGGTGAAGTCGCATAACTGTTTCAAGAAAAAGAATACTTGGTATGTATACTAGTTTACTTAATGGAGGGAATGTTTCTCACGTCCAATATTTAGGCAAAAACATCATATGAAATTTAAAAATTCTAACCACAGTTGAAAAGGAATACCAAGCAGAATTTACTTGTTGTCTATGATAAGGTGATAAGCAACTGATAGTTGATCACTAGGATCATTGTTTAGTAAGGCAGCGAACACTTCACGTTCTGTTGCATTGCACGCTTGACAGACTTCATAGACTGCTTCCTATGTTAATGAAAGAAAATTATGAAAAAATTGGTAGTAATTACTCTTACTGACAAATAAATATGTGAATAATTCAAAATATTAAACGCTAGTCGCATTTGGGGTTCCGTTGAGTATGTGTTTAAAGAACCCTCAAGATATCGGAAATATCCTGTTGAGTCCCAGCGATGATGACTGTCTTGAACAACTTAAATATAGTCAGTGATTAGTTATATAGGGCTACTGACTTCCTTTCCCCGAATCATTATCATTATCGTTTGCCTACAACCTGATTTAACACATCATTCGAATAGTTAGGCATTTGCGTCCCTCATTGGCTGAAAATCGCAAGCCTTAAACATTAGCTCACCACTTCTAGGTAGATTTGATCGTGTATGATACGGCTGCACGGCCTAACACGTTGAGCTATTGGAGCCTCATCTGACCTGTAGACTAAGATTTATTTATAGTTGATCATTGTATAGAGTCCCCTAAATGCTCTGGAACGGCTGAGAATAAAGAGTCCCTTTTCCCCCTCCAAATGTTCTTACACAGCCTCGAGTATATGGCTACTGCCCTTTCGTGATGACGTTGTTTACGAAATTAAGAGGACAAAAGGCCAGTATCCATAACCTAAACCGGGCTAGTTGGTACGGAGGATTTATCTAGGGGAGTTAAAAAACCCTGATTCTAGACTAATTAGGCAGATGGGCTCCGCAATCCTAAGGGAACAAAAAGAATATGAACCTATTACTGGTGATCGTCAACGTTATGACTGCACATTCCGACGTAGCTCCGTCAACTTATGGATTAGATTTGTAGTCCAAAGGCGTGGGGAAAGGTCAGATAAGCGAATCCTTGGTTCGATCTAGACACCTGGGTAGTATCTCAGCCTACACACATACTGAATGATTTGTACGGAGCAACTACATTTTGATGTTCCCTATGCCAAGATATGTGTCTAAATGAAAAAACGTCACGTTTGTCTAGTCATTTATAATGTTAGTCGAACTTTTTCGATCAAATGGCAATATGACCACCGGTCTAAGCGACCCGACATTTTTTCGTTGTTTGTCAGCCTATAGAAATTCAGCAAAAGACAATAGAAATATGGCACCTTAAAATCTTAAAGAGACACATCGAATGAAGTCTGTCGCAACTCTTTGACAGTCGTTGTAGGTTTAGAACTCCCTAGGTAGGCTTTGAGTGACTTCTGAAAGAAAAAAATGATCAACAGAAGTTAATAATAAATCTCGCAAAACTACCAATGTTAATAGTTAGAAGGAACAGGATCACAATGCATAGAGTAAATAATAAGTCTTGATTTCAGGCAAAAATCATTAAAATATTTTAGTGAAAGACGATCATGAACATTCGAAGAAATTTGTAAACATAACTGTCGATAAATTCAATTATATTAATTATAGAAATTAGACCAGACAATATAAAAAATATGAAAAGTGTTTCAGGTTTACTATATAGTAGGAAATTACATACACTTGAAAGAAAAAACATTACCTTGTCAATTATTGAGGCATCTTCATCTCGCTCTTGCGGGAAAAGATGACCTGGAAGATCAACTGAGAACCATGGATGTCGTCTGATTTCCTCTATGGTTGCACGCTTAATCGGATCCACAGTTATCATTCTTCGAAGAAGATCCCTCACCTAAACACAAAAGTGATAAAAATATACAAAAGCTATCGGCTCACAATGAAATGCACAACTGATTAACTACTAATAATCTGTATTGAATATGTAAGATAAAATAAGCAAAATAGCATTCCTAAATGCATTTAGTTAGACTTCGGATTCTCAGTAGTTGATCTAAACTACAATAAAGATGTGCTTATAGTGTATGGTCTAAAACTAAAATATTTATTAAGAAGTAACTAGAAATAAATCAGTTTGAATAAAAGAAATCAAACTTTTGTATCTTTTAAACTGAAAACTTGTAAAACTCAACGGTAAACGCTCACCCGTCGCCTTCAGAAGAATATTTTTAAGGAGTTACTAAGAATAGAAATAAACAGAAACAATGACAGTCTATGCTTTTGATGGAGGGTCAGACATGGACAGAAATATTAAATGCAAAACAACTAAGGCAAAATAAATCATAGCGCAAACAACATCCCAAGAGCAGCCGGAGAAAGGTATAGAATGCTACCTCATAAGATAATCACTGCTTCTCTGCTTCCCGGGGTCTCGCTGGTGCGGGTATAGCATTGAGTCGTAGGGTAGAACAATCTCTCCTTGACTGAATCCCTGTAGATGGTCGCTTGTGCGCCGTCCGACTAAACGGGACAGTAAGGATTCGAAAGGATAGGGACACTCGTCGTTGCTTCTTCGTCATATCAGCCTACGCCCCTACTGACTACAGTCCAGACGATGTGAAAGATAAGTTTTACAAAAAGCTTTCTGACCTCCTCCAAAAAGTTAGGCACTCTGATGTAGTAATGATGGCTGATGACTTCAATGCTCAAGTAGGTAGACTAAGTGGAAATGAAAGACACCATGGTGGATGTTATGGTTTCGCGACTCAGAGAACAGACAATGGCGACCGTCTGTTGCAACAATGCGAGCATGTTCGAGATGCGGTTTTCCCCCTCGAAATGCAAAATGTTGTTTCAAGACTGGGTTGCATCGGCACCTGAACTAGTGATAGGCAGTGAAGTAGTCGAGCGTGATGATCACTTCACTTATCTGGGGAGTCTCATCAGCGCTGATATTCGTAGGTTACTAGTATTCGATCATAGATGTTTAAGAAGCATTGCTCGTATATCGTGGGACAACCGAATAAGCAATGCTATAGTTAGGAAACGAGTACTAGGTAAGGATGGCAGATTAATAGATGAAGTGGTGAAACTTCATCATTTGAGATGGTTGGGACACGTGTTACTTATGGCTAACCACCGACTGCCGCGACAAGCTATGTTTTATGGTGTAGCAGTAGATTGGAAGAAAGCTAGGGGTGGCCAGACCAAAACATGGAAGAAATCCTGAAGTCACTGACAAGTGGACTGAGTCATGTTGGTAGATGTAGATTAGCTGGTTGGGGTCCTCAAGAAGAAGGTCATCAATGGTTAGAGACCTTGAACGACATGGCTCAAAATCGTTTGCAATGGCGCAAGTGCATCCATTCTTTGAGCTCTCTCAAATCCTAATCTGCTGGATTCGTCAGCACCTCTACCTTTGTCTTTCTAACCTTATCTCACTGAATTAAAATTCTTGAATAATATCTTCGAACCCTAGTCTTCTCCATTACCGCTAATGCTTCTACTATCTCTACCACTATGGGATTTGATTTGACATTAGCGTCTCTGTGCTAATGTGGTATGGCAACCTGAACTTATGTACATACGTACGAAGTTCTACGTTACAACTGACTGACTGATTCACTGCTTCTAGAACCTATGAAAGCAAAGCAACTATTCACCACACGGTTTCAAACGACAGCCAAAGACCTAACATATAGCTCTTGATACATTACACTATTAAGTAATCTACTTTTGCTCCAACGAAATCATGTAATCAAGTCAGTGGCGGTTTCGTATGTGTAACATTCTAAGCCACATCACTGCTGCTGGGAGATACGGGATGACAAATCAGGCTAGAATTCTGTACCTAACTCTAATGTTAATAATTTAGTAGTGAACTCAAACAAAATAGCTCCAACAGAACAACTACTACAAATGAAGCTTTAATTATTCTCGTGTTATTAGAATTCGTCAGTGGGGGTATATAAGATCTGATGGGATGAGACAGTAAGACCTTTAATCAACCTACTGCGGCCGACAGATAGCAAGAGTTCAACAAAAGCCATAAGAAATACGGTGTAGTCAATGTTCCTTTCGAAGACAGGGAATGAAATTAACTATATTTAACAAACTCAACATAATCCTGATCTACTAGACAACAAAAATCAAAACCATAAATAAGGAATGAAGATAATAGATTTTCAATACCCAAAAATAATACACTTACACCTGAGCTCAGAGTTTCTGGTAAATGAAAATAACCTGCTTTGATCTTTTTGAAAAGTGTAGGTATATGTTCATCATCAAATGGAAGTGTCCCACATAGAAGCGCATATAAAATTACTCCACATGACCATACATCTACTTCTGGACCAGCATACAACTTTCCAGATATTACTTCAGGAGCAGCATAGTTCGGGGATCCACAAGAAGTACGCAGAAACTCACCGTCTTGCATTATGTTCGACAATCCTAGAAAAAGTTGAAATCAAATAATAATAGACAATGAAGTGACTAAATTTCTTTACACCGCCACAACAAATTCCCGACTGTGATATGACACAACTGTACAAAACTTAGTAAAGCAGTAAATCAACTGGGTGCTAATGAGTCAGTTACAACGTGGAACTTCCTACGTATGTACATAAGTTCATGTTACCACATTAGCACAGAGACGCAATTACCAGTTCAAATCCCATAGTGGTAGATATAAAAAAGTACTGCGTGCTAATAACAAATAATAAGGATGAAGAACAACACAAAAAGCAAGACCAAGGGGCTACTATACAGTGTATAACCTGAGAGACACTAACTGTTACCTAATTGGAAAATTATTCACCATATGAAGTCTGGCTTGGCCAGTATGAGATGAGTAGATACCTGCAATCTCACCCAATAAAAACAACATTGGAACTCATTAGGTTATAACAATTACATATACTGCACAAGAAATAAATCATAGTTAACTAACCGAAGTCAGCAATTTTTACATTCTGGTTTGAGTCTAGCAACAAATTCTCAGGCTTTAAATCTCTGTGCACAACTTTATGTCGATGGCAGTAGGCGACTCCGGAAATTATTTGCTGGAAAAACTTTCTAGCGTCTTTCTCAGAGAGTCTTCCAGACTTCACTATGTAGTCAAATAGTTCTCCTCCACTAACATACTCCATTATCATAAATATATCAGTTGGAGTGCTAATGACTTGATACAACTTGATGATATGAGGATGTCGGAAAAGCCAAAGGTTGAGAATTTCGCGACGTAGCTTGCCAGCAACATCGAGAGCTTTGATTTTATCCCTGTTTACTATTTTCACAGCAACTTGAACCCCAGTAGATTTGTGAATTCCAACTTTGACTTTTCCAAAAGTTCCGACACCAAGTGTTTCCCCGATTATGTAATTACCGATGCGAACCTCCGGGTTACATTTCGGCGCAGCTCGTCTTCCATCCGCCATAATTTGAATGCCGCTCCAATCCAATATCCAATAGCTTTTTCACGAGCTAGTGTAAGCCAATTGATTACTTTGCTCTGGATTCTTGTTCTTCCTGTACGGTTCCAGGTATTCGGTAGTGTCCAATAGATGGCGGTCTAGCCACTCGACTGTCTAATTCTAATCATTTGGCAGTTGGTTTTTTGTATGTCTCGGGGTTTGAATGAAAACGTTTGTTTCAGGGCAGTAGGGTTTCTGGATACCAGAAGCCGACAAACTATTGGACCGCAGATCAGTTAGTTGCAATGTGTAGAGTAATAAGGTTTTTAAAGATAAAATTCCAATGTTAATATGAATAAAAATTCAGAACAAAGAAATATATAGATGATTAGGTTTTTAATTGGTAGTGAAGATTGTGAGAGAGGACCGTTGTGTAAGCAAGGGAGAGGAAACAGAGATAATAGGCGAGATAGATTAAGTAAGTGATCTGAGGAGATGACAATGATAACAACTAGCTGGTCTCAAGATATGCATCATGAACAGCTTTTTCAAGAGGGAGATGATAGTCCGTATGTGAGTACGTGATTATCAAGTCTCTTCTTAAAGCAGTCTACTGAGGGGGCTGTGGTTACCTCGGACGGGAGAGCATTACAAGTTGCGACGACTCGCAATGAGCAAAAGTGTGCACGAATCTGAATATTCGCTCCTGGATGTACAATCTTTTGAGGATTGCTTCGAGGGGAGTGGTGGTGATGCATCGGTAAGATGCTCACATTGGGATGCTTTGGCGTGTTTAATGTGGTGTACGCCATAATCATATCATCTCTGATTCCCTTGTATCTCAGTGGAAATAATCCCAAGAACTGGAGTCTATCGTCGTAGGGTTTATTTTTCAACCCTATCACCCATTTGGTTGCTCGTCTCTGAACTCGATCCAAGATATTTAAGTGTCAATAAAGTCGAAGGAGTGCAATGACGTTGTGGACCTCCGGGTGTGGTCGCTCATACGTCTCAAATATTGTTAAAAATAATTGTTGGGTAATAGCACCAAGTTATCTTTGCTTAATGTGAACAGTCGCATGTGACTTGGCTGCGTCTTCAATTCCCATTTATAATTATGGTTAATCGTTGAAAGGAATTTTTCGAAAAAGATCCAGCTTCAGCTTTCAAAGCATCCTCTGATAGGTATGATATCAATCGCTCGTGTAACATATCCCAGTCAGTGACCACTCATTATCCAATATCCAATATCTTATTTCACGAGCTAGCATAAATTAGTTGATTTCTTTGCTCCCGATTATTGTTCTTTCAGCAGGTTTCCATGAATGTCAGATTCTACAACGAATTTATTTCATCGTGATTTTCGGACCTTCTAGCTGTAACTCTGAAGGTAGCTAGTTTTGAAGAGTGCTCTTATCTTTGATGAAGGAACTGTCTATTGAGGATTCTCAACCACATTCTGAGTTATTCTAACTTAATGTAGCCCACACATTGTCAGGATACTTTTGTATTCAAAGTGGTTCGGTTACAGATCGCATGAGTGAAACATATAATATGTTAGAGATCACTTCCGTGCACGTTCGAGTACATCAGAAGCTCATGATAGTGATATATGTGAGGTAGTTTAAGAATGATCAAATGTAATGATAAGTTGGTGACTATGGAAGGAATATACTATTTCAGACGTTACTTAGCCGTACAGTTCGTGCCAGGTCATATCTGTAAGTGAGCTGAGGCTAATTGTTGTGTTATTTTTTGGCATTTCGATGACCAGTTCACCAGGTGGATAAAAATTACAACTTGTGATACATATTTCGAGGACAACAGAATGAAAACAATAATCAGGGCGCACTTGAACAATGTATCAGGAAGCCTATAGACTAGGAATATGCACCATCTTCTCTTGACCTTACTTTCACACACCACTGTGATGATGACACAGAAATCAAGTAACTACAGCCAATCCCAAACTATGGTCATTTTGTATTTGACTTCAGGTTTCAGAAGCATAGTATGCATTATGCATCAGATCCAATCTGACCTAATATATACCGGGCTAGCATCCTGACACTTAAGGATTGTGCCGTCTCAACAGGTTTCCAAGTCAGTGTAGATTGGTCGGTCGGAAAAGAACGAAATTAGTTGAAGGTCGAACTTGGGACTATTAAGTTACTGTTCGTCTCGTGGGCGATACTAAAGTTATCATAACAGGCCCTATGGTTCAATAAGGATACTGGAATGCTACTGCGGCGTTTCTGAGAAATGTCTTTTTCAAGGAGCCATGAATCAACTAAGTGTAATGCCGAAAAGTCCCGAATACAAGTGAAAGGGCCATAGCTAAATGTAGTAGTGCTTACGAAAGTGTGTAAACACAGCAACCGCACTTGGCTAAAATGACTGTCTTCGTTCATCAGACGATGAGCTAAGAGTAGTGATGATTTTGCCCACTGCTGCTGCACGGGAATTCGTTCATACTATCTGAAATAGATATGACCAGTGCTGAAATTATATCGAACTATTTCAGCGCTGCTTAGTCTACGGGCCCTGACTTCAGCGCTTTCTATAATCACACTTGTGAGATACCAGCTGAAGAGAGAGTAATGGTGACGGGGGAAGTCGTCCCCTGATTTGTTCTTAGGCTCAGAAGTGATGAATAATCAGATCCTTATGAAGTAGATCCTTGGCTGCCGCCATCCCTCGTGAAGGTAAAACATACCTAGTGCCATTGGGTTATCTTTGTCCAAATTGAACTTCATTATATAATGTTACGATCTACAACGAACAATAAGGAAGCAGCTAAAAAACGGTTTCCAGCAGTGTTAAGCGTTTCCTCTAGTCGTCGCGACTATGAATATGTACGGTTTAAAACGCCTTCGATTGCAATTTTAATGTAATTTGATGCTGCGAGACAGAATCTTGAAGCTACGAACAACGGAAAATAAGAAAGCATTTGAATATCTTCCATAGTATTTTGATGCTGCTCAGTTTAAAAAATTAACAAGATCGTGAACCTTAAGTTATTCGCAGAAACTTGGATCCTGAAATGTAAAAACTACAACAAAACAAACGAAATAGAACATAGGACGAAGCGCAATCTCCTAGGACATACAAAGACGTCATCTCAAATTGAAATCCTGCCATTTGGTGACAATACTTTTGTGTTTTGATGGATCGTTGGTATTACTGTTTGTAGATTTATTTCGACAGTGGCTGTCCTAATCGCGTCCAATAGAAACACTCCTGTACGTTCCTCCTAGATCCAGGTCCCAGCCAAATCAAAAGGGCAAAATTCTAGGAGAAAACGTCTGGTATTTGTGTTTCTTCCAGGGTTAATTTACTCCGCAGAGTATCCAATACAATAACTAGTAAGTGACACTAAGTCCAGCAGCCACCGCGTCCATCCAAAAATGTGGCGGTAGCCATATTATATCAAATTTAAAAAATATATGTACAATTCAGAAGCAAACCCAAAAACTTCAATATAAGTACAAAATATAGAAAGAATAACAATATACAATGGTAAAAATCTCAAATTGGAATCAAATAAAATACCAAAAATGTCAAGAGAAAAAGTCCATCAGGTCATAGCAAAAATATGTAAACATGGAGGGATTTTCCAAAACACAAAACATTCAAAAAGAATTCTACACCGGCCCGCAAAATCCCTCCATGCAAAAAGAGCAATCGTTAATGACACTTTATTTAGGGTTCCCATGTTATCCCCTAATCCACACCGGAATAACGTGTAGGACTTACAGCAGTACGCCTACCCGCCATCCAACATGGATATGACCTATCGTGTTAACTAGGTACCTATACTTTCCCATCAGGCCCTTGATTCCCCTATCTATCGTGGAATGTCCTAACGGTAGTATAAACCTTACCCAATTAACCAATACGAACATGAACAACACGTCGCAAAACTGGTCATATCCTATCCGAAGGCTACATTCTCTATCATGGGGACGAGTCGCCAATCCACCACCACTTGCTCCGATCAGCAGATACCATGAAGTCTGTGATGCTAACTTATCAACAGAAGTTTTTGACCCATAAATAATATGCAAGGGTGGGATCTCCAATTTTGACATTTCATCGTCTCCAGAAGACCTTAAGTAGCATGACGTAGGATCAATATTTATCCTTCCATCTCCTGCTGCAGAGGAGGTTTGAACAGTATTCATCATCGTCGGTAACTCATTTGTCACATCAGTGACATCCAGTTTATTATCAACGTCTAAATGATTCCGTTCTGCATTAGCATCCGTTTCCGCGGCACAAGACATATGCTCATCAATAGCATCGTCATCACACAGCACTGTAGACTGGCTGTTACCATCAAACACTTTCTTCTCATCATCACTCGACTGACAGTCAACCGTAATAGGAACAGTTACAGCTGCACAACCTTGTGCATCTTCAATCAACTTAACCTTCGTGACGAGGTCCGATGGCGTCGAAACACTAGGAGGCTCATTCGATGAAGTTGATAAACTAGTCCCTATAAGTGAACTGCTGACACTTTCTATATCCTTATTATCACTGTCACTACTAAGGTTCTGATGGCTACTATTTCCATGGCTAGTCGTAGCATCCGAAAGAGCATGAGGTTCAGGCTTCTTAGTAATAGTAGCATCATGTTGTCTCCTAGGCTTCTTAGCCGTTGCTGTACCACCATCACTTATCCTAGAATCTACTCTAGGTCCAGTTATATAATTTACCCTAACTGAAGGGTTCCGAAAATAAGCTTTATTCCATTCAGTCAATCCTGCCTGGGTCTTATTCATATTTGCTGAACTCATTAACCTCTGATTACTCGAATCCAAATTACCGTTCCAGGCTTTTCGAGCAGCTAAGAGGCTTTTATCATCACACACTTCGGATCCATCTTGATGCCTACGCTTTTCACCTTTTTCTTTCTTTTCCATACTTAGAAAAGCCATCTTATCTGTTACACAAACCGGCTTCTTGCTAGGACACGCATCAAGAGGCTTTACATCGTTACGGTCACATACTCGTCCTTCATCAGCGTATGCTTTCGTGATATAATTGACAAATCGCTTATCTTCCAAGCGTGCTTTAGGTAGAAACGAAGAATCCGAATGTCTCGCACGCAGACCACTAGTAGCTTCCGTATTATTTCCTGTTTTAGCCTGATAAGCTAATCTTCCAAACCTACTACTAGCTATCTTAGCACGAGACATAATAAATTCCGTCAATTCGTTAAATTTGGGCTCTCTCTCCTCTTCGTCCCACTTGATTACTAGCTCTGCCCACTGGGCTTGCATTCGACGAGGTAAGAGCCTTACTATTCGTTCTAAAGTAGCCATAGAGTTAAGTTCAGCTGTACAATTTAACTGTTCTAAAGTTAAAGCAGCGTTCTGCATTTTAATAGCCAAGTTCGTCAATGATTCAGGATCATTAAATTCTACATTCCCAGTTCTAAATAAGTCCTCTAAGGTTTCTCGCGCTATTACATGCGATTGTCCAAAGAGCTGTTTTAGAATGGCCTTAGCTCTCTTATATCCTGATTGTGGATCCATAATAATACAGCCTTCAATCGCATTTTTTGCTTTTCCCTTACAATAATGAATTAAATACAATAAACGCACTTGATCATCCCTTATTCGAGGTTCTATAAACGTCTCTATCTGTCGTATGAACCTAAAATAGTCGCGAGACCTTCCATCAAAAAATGAGAGTTCAACCTTAGGTAGTTCTAAACCCTCTATCGATGACTTACAATAATAAATATCAGACATAACATGTGGGTTACCCATAAAAAAGTTATCACTAACGACTTGCCTAGAGCCCTGTGATCCGTCGAGCTCTTCCACCGTCCTCATGTGTGATTTTTTTCGGTTTGACATCATAAATAAAGTCCAATAGAAGAGGTAACAAATACAAAATAGAGTAATTTCACAATTCAGTTCAAAAATAACGGTGAATAATCCAACTTCTTCCTCCAAGGAAGTCTAGTATGATAAACGATTAAAATTCCAAATGTTTCTTTATAATTCTTAATAATCCGAATAGTTCCAAATTATATGTTCCGATGGATATTTCCAAAGTATAATTCAAAATAGAAGAAAATACCAGACTGTAGATTTATTTCGACAGTGGCTGTCCTAATCGCGTCCAATAGAAACACTCCTGTACGTTCCTCCTAGATCCAGGTCCCAGCCAAATCAAAAGGGCAAAATTCTAGGAGAAAACGTCTGGTATTTGTGTTTCTTCCAGGGTTAATTTACTCCGCAGAGTATCCAATACAATAACTAGTAAGTGACACTAAGTCCAGCAGCCACCGCGTCCATCCAAAAATGTGGCGGTAGCCATATTATATCAAATTTAAAAAATATATGTACAATTCAGAAGCAAACCCAAAAACTTCAATATAAGTACAAAATATAGAAAGAATAACAATATACAATGGTAAAAATCTCAAATTGGAATCAAATAAAATACCAAAAATGTCAAGAGAAAAAGTCCATCAGGTCATAGCAAAAATATGTAAACATGGAGGGATTTTCCAAAACACAAAACATTCAAAAAGAATTCTACACTGTTTGTATTTAATAGAATTCCATCTATAGGTATAGCTATGAGCCAGTCAGGATATTGTGAAACACTTGTTATGAACAGGTTTTGATATAACTTCGCCCGTCTGTTCATCACATGCTTACTTCATCGTGGTTACAAACACCACATAATTGTCGTCCAAAACCTTGATATGGAAGCCATTTTTACTGTTCTATTTAAGGTGTAAAAACGCATAAGTAATGGACAATAAACTGGACACCTAGTGATGTTATTATACACCGACTTGCTTAACTCACTTTGTATGTTCTTTGCTCACGATCGCGGGTGTTTTGTAGACAGTTTTTGATTTTGTTGATTCGTCTCTGCTCGGTACATCATCTCCCACTCTTTTTTGCATAACAATGGTAGGGTTTCTCAAGCTGAGTCGCCTACTTGGTCTGACTTTACCGTGTCCAGCATTCTCCGTGCTTCAAATCACGTCTTCAGATTATTCATTGATACACGAGGTCCGCTGAATGTAATGGTAACAATTACCAAAACCCTAACCAATCAGGACTAATGTTGATTGCCTACTCACCAAATGGGACGTGAGTTTACGTACCGATGTTTTCATAATGCATCTAAGGAGAAACTGTTTCATAATCCGCTATACACACCTGAACTACTTTGTCTTACATGATGCTCTTTAGTATTGTTTCTGAATACAGGTCTTACCGCTAACCGAAGTGTAAACATCAGAATATATTTAGGATACTGAATATAAGGCAAAGCACCTCAAAGAATTCATTATGCCTATATATCTTGAATGTGATAGGTTGTGTTGAAATTGTTGAACATATACGTTTACACTACTGGATGTCACTTACTGTAAGATTTTCCGCGACTTAATTATGAGACTGCATCATTAGTGACAGCGTAAAAAACTCGCTCCTCGCACCGGTTTATGATAAAAAATAATATCTCTATTTTTGACATTAACTTTTATTCTAAATGTTGGTTTAAAAACCACCTGCTCGATGGGACATTTTCAAAAGCGAATTCATATTTCCCTACTTCACCTGATAAAGCCTTTTACATTAAGTAACCGTGAGGATTTTTCTGTCCCATTACGACACATCAGAGTTCAATCTTGGAAAGATGCTCATTTGATTAGATTATGTTCACAGACCAATGAAAGGAATTTGTTAAATCACGTCATTTCCATAAAATCTCTATCATTTTTATACGTTAAGTATGGTAGTCACACAGTGAGTAATGAAACATTCAAGGTTGAAAACCTTCCGAACTACAAACTGTCAGTAACGAATAACTCCCATGTAATGATTACATCAGTGAATTGAACACAAATATCAGGGATGTAACGATAGACCAACTTCTGGAGCTACAAACTAATTTTACCTGACAATTATAGTCGGTCCGACGCTCACAATATTAAAAACGAATAATCTGAGCCTGCGTGAAATTGTTTTGATTGATAGAAATATCACAGGTAATTTAAGATTTCACGGATATGCATAGCTTAGTAACAGTGTTATCCAAAACTTCTACTTCCGCATTAACAATTTTATTATCAATTTATCGATACCAGAAAGGATGCGCAGGGGGATATAGACTTAACTAAATACTGAGCACTCAAGCGTAAAGTATGATAATTCTTCAATGCACTCACTGACATCTATCATTTTGGCAAAACCGAGAACAAACGAAATGTCAAGTACAATTGAAACCGAAACGATACTAGTAATTTACTTCCCATTTGTTTATGACAAGTAAACTTTTAGCCATTGTGATAAATACGTGAATAACTTGGATTTCGTTAAAAACACGTGAAAATTAATGACAGCAACTTAATGTGAAGCTGACAGAAGGTCGCAAGACTAGTAGTAATACAGCAGTTTTCATGAAATAGCATTCCAAAAATAGTAATTTTTAACATGATTAAATATTAAATTGAACTGTCCAACCATGACCGTGACAATGATTGTTTATAGCTTTGTAATTTATACTGTTGGATTTCGTAATGCGATAATCCTTTACCAAGAGTACCTCTTAGCTGGATCGGTAAACTAAGAGTAGAATTGGCAATAACAGAAAGTTAACATGTAGTATTATGATCAGGAATCGAATTTTGAATATGCACACGAAAAACATTTGAATAGTGTCCACAAACACACTGACAGTCGAATCGAACGAATCAGAATATTCTCAAACACTTATAATGCAAGGAAACAGAAAAAATGCACAATGCATCAAATTTACAAGATACGCTTCGCAACACACAAAACGAAGATACTACAACGCCAACCAACAGGAAATTATAAACTGTCTGATTCTAATGATATATAGGGACCAACTCCAATACATGTGACTTATTAAAATAAAGAGAATACACATTATTTATCAAAATTTAATCGAAGAATAGTAAAAAAAATTTAAATGCATACAAAAAAGAGCAATATTTCATAATAAATAGTGTCGTGACAATTGCGAACATTCGCAGTCACTTATCACTAGATTCACACTGAATAAATAAATTTCTCCGCAATGAACACAGTTCTTTGACCCACTTTTGACATAAACTGGTGTTAAATGTTCCTGTAAAAAAATTAATCGTATTAGAGAGAAAAAGAAACTAATCCGAAATAGTGAAAATACTATTTACCTAGAGTACTATCAAAAAATGATTCTAATTTTCCCGGTTCAAGTGTTTCATTTTCATATTCATAAGCCTGCAAAAGCATCTCAAGTCTATTGAAACACATATTCCAAGGCTATGCAAACAACGTACTTATCAAAATCTTTACAAATAATCGCTTCTGGCGTTTTCTGATCAACATATTCCTATAGAAAGCAGAAATGGTTCAGTATAAGTGAAAATGAAATTACCGTCCATAAATTCATAATTTCTTTGCTATTCTCTTCTGAAATAAGTTCACATAATTGGTTCATCGCATTCTTTAAAATAAAATAAAAACCAGTAAGGGATAACGGGTACAAAATTTACATACGAAAATGTAATTTGGACTATTGGCGTTAGCTGGTAGAGAACAATGAACTTAAGTTTGGGGATAGTTCAGACTCGTCAGCAACCTCGAAGGTAATGATGCTCTCTCCAGTGAAACTAGTATTTAATCACTTTAGTTCCACAGTCTAAGACGTTACCGTTGAGCTATTGAGGGTCCGACTGACATCCTGTAAGACTGTGATATTTTTAACTAAGCAAAAACGGATTTGGTGTTTTCTTTGTTTTTTAGTATTGTTCAAATTTTATCGATTAACTTGTACTGTGGGTGCTAGTCAGAGTCAGTCAGATGCAACGCAGAACTTCGTATGTAAGTACATCACTTCATGTCGCCATACCACATCAGCACAGAGATGTAATTGTCAATTCAAATCCAATAGTAGAAGAGTTAGTAAGAGTATTAGAAGTAATCAGAGAGGTTAGGATGAGATATTATTCCAGAAGTATGATTTAATGAGAAAAGTTTAGAAAGTCAAAACTTGAGTTGTTGAAGAACCCAGAAGATTAGGATTTGAGAGAACACAAAGCATAAATGCACCGGCGCCATTGCGAACGATTTTGAGCCATGTCATTCAAGGTCTCTAACCATCGATTATTATCATCTCGCCGACCCCAACCAGGGAGTCGACAATTACCGACATGACTCAGTCCATTCGTCAATGATTTCATGGATTTCTGCCATGTTTTGGTTTGGCCAACCCTAGCTTTCTTCCAACCTATTCCTACACTACAAAACAAAGCTCGACGAGGCAGTCGGTGGTTGGGCATACGCAACACATGTCCCAACCACCTCAACTGATGAAGATTCATCACTTCATCGATTGATCTGCCATTCTTACCTAGCATCCGATTTCTAATAACAGCGTTGCTCACTCGGGTGTCCGAAGATATACGAGCAATGCTTCGAAGACAACTATGATCGAAAACTAGTAACCTACGAATATCTTCTACTCTCACTGGCCATGTTTCACAGCCATAAAGTAAGACGGAGCGAACTACTGCGCAGTACACTCGTCCTTTAGTCAGCAAACAGATATCTCGCCTACGCCATAAGTGACGCAGGTTGGCAAAAGCCAATCGAGCCTTCTGTATCCGTTGCTGAGATTTCGTCAGTCACCAGGCCATCAACACTGATGAGACTCCCCAGATAAGTGAATCTGTCTACACACTCAACTACTTCACTCCCTATCACTAGTTCAGGTGCAGATGCAACCCAATATTGAAGCAACATTTTTCATTTCGAGGGGGAAAACCGCATCCCGAACATGCTTGCATTGTTGCTTAGGGTGGTCAGAAGACTCTGCATTTTGTCAGCGTCTTCACCAAGTAGGACTATGTCATCGGCATATTCTAAGTCAGCAAGCGATTTTCATGGTAGAAGGTCCACTCCTGAAAATTCAGACGAGGATAAGGTTATTTCTAGGAGCATGTCTATGATAAAATTAAACAAGAATGGAGAGAGTGGACAGCCCTGATAGACACCACTTGAAGTAAAGAATTCCAATGACAGTTCGCTGTAAGCTCTAACTCGACCAGTAGTGTACGAGTAAATAGCTGGTATAAGGTTAATGTACTTCATTGGTACACCTTTTAACGACAGACACTGCCACAGAACCTCACGATCCACAGAGTCGAATGCCACCTTAAGGTCCATGAAGACAACTATTATAGGACGCCTAAATATGTGTCTGTGTTCCAGGACCTATCGCAGTGTGAAGATGTGGTCTATACATCCACATCTACGACAGGTCGATAATACGACTGGATAATAAAATCATTCTACTATTAAATGGACGATCACACAGAATCCAATGCAGCTGAGGAAATTATTCTTTTTGATATGTAAAAAACGTAACCGCTGTTAGATTATTCTATGAATAAATGGAATGAACAAACTTTTTATGATAAATACAATATTTCCCGTTTATTATATTACAAACTGTCCATAATACAAGATTCGGAAATATATTTCATAACATCTAGTTAAATAGATGAAATCAGGTCATGAAAATACACTTTCAAATGTTTGATTATAACTGATTCTTCTGCATAACTATCCTGGTCAATACAATCCCCGAAAATAATAAATTGAGAGGGTCTTAGTTATTGGATTACACTGATGAATTAGTACTGATCTTTAGTTTTTCTAAAAAAAACACATACCATCAACTGTTAAGAAACGATAAACTAATGTTTCATAAATATGTGTACTAACTTTTTCTCTGGACAATTTTTCTTCTTTCGACACTCCACAATGCGGTGTAATATCGCCTACGATGCATTCGGCTAAGTCATGCACAATCGCCATTTTTAATATGCTAGCAAAATGGAGAAAGAAAATTAAACAATTAAAACAACACTGATTCGTGTGCTTTAATAAATAAATAAAAAATTAAAACAAAACAAACATATTACACAGATGAATAAGAATAAATTAAATATTGACAAATGGAATGAATATGACAATGTAACAAACAATAAATCGCAATGAAACATGACTCATATAATAAAAAAACTTGACAAAACTGTAAATTAAATGTTAGCTTCATGATTCAAATGAGCTGATATAGATGGGAATGGAAGCTTTTGATGGATAAATTAAAAACGATTAATAACAATAATACTGATAATTACAAGTAAATAGAGTCAAAAAAATTTTTGTGTTGAACTTGATGTGAATATAAAATTGCTTCTGTGAGAAAAAATTTATCATACCAGTTTAAAACTATTCACTAGCGGAAAACTTGGGGAAGATTTTGTGAAGCTGTAGTTTGAAGGAAAGACCAGCAAATTTCAGACGAATTCCTGGAGTTAAAAAAGGCCATGGTTATTTGCAAATCTAAATTTCATTTACATATACCGAAACAATTGTTCATAGCCATCAATTTGATTCAGTAATCTTTAAGCTCTTTTATGACCTCGAGCAGTATCACAAATTCGGTGTTCTTTCCATGACATAACACTTTTTTCTCTTTGTTTTTTTAAATTATCTATGTTCATTTGGATTTTTGTTTAACTATGCATGCTACTCATTAGACAAGTTGCAAGTAGTATCTAACGCAATAGGAAGTGTGCATATTTATCAGTTTTAAACTATTAATTGAATTCACAATCATGTTTTCGAGCGCTTTCTTACAACTTTATCTGTGTATTCATTGGTATTGGTTGTCTGAACCTTTCCATTGATGTTTAGGATTGTGATTGATCCATCTTCAAGTTTGTCATGTTAGTCTGTTACGTTGTTGGTTTGCTATATAAACAAATGCACAGAATTTGCGAAAGCACCAAATCAATGAGAAGAAGACAATGCTTACCGATCTGTGTTTAAATTTTTTCGTTCATCTGTTGGAATTACCGCAGACATCAATGCAACTCGGTACATATGATCAGAAACACTTTCAGGTGAGTTTATATTATAACGTGTCCAACCAGTTCGAACAGTCCGCTAAAAATATTATTAAAGAAGTTATGACAAAATATGGGGATAAGTTTGTAGTTAGTTATGCAAGATACCACAACTAAGCTTGATAGAGTAGTCTATGAAATGAATAAACACTAAGTCTGATAACCTCGAAAACAACTTGCATATGTCATATAATATCAATCAATATATCATATAAAAAGTTTGTACAATAGATATACGAACTGAACTACTAACGCTTTTTCTGGGACGTAAGAAGAAACTCGGGGAATTCACATGTTGAATGCTTTTAAGGAGATAACGTGTTGATGACCTGTTTCGCAACTGAATCAAACGTAAAGACTCCATAAGATGACGCAGCATCAGGACGACTATTAACATGCTGTGTCTAGCAACATTACTGCTGTCAAAGTTTCGCATTATCAGGCTCTTCTCTATTACCCTTTATAAAATACCGGATATCATTTGATATAATATAGCCAGCGTATTTCATCCTTTTTAGAGGCGGGGAAAAAAGTTTGTTGATTATTGAATGTAACCAATGTGGATAATCCCATGAATATCCAGAACAGTAATTCAACTAACAGATAAAAATTCATCTGTCACATTGGTTTTAGGCATTGTTCAAATCATCACTTTCGATTTTATAAATGATATATGAGTCTATACATTTTATGATCAACTAAATTATGAGGTCAGTACAAAAATAAGACCCTTATTCGTAGTTCATCACTTTTGCAGGAAATAATACTGAAATAATCTTAGACACATTGTCTACCTTTCTTCTAGGTAACACACCTACGTGGATCTGTTCTTTCTCTTTTCTTATCTAAGCCTATTAGTGAAGTTGGTGGACTCGCTGAAATCACTAGAAAATGAGTGTTTTAGAAACAGCATGTATTTAGAGAACAGCCAGCTTAAAATCCTTCAAGTTCAAACACAATGGAAACGTTGTCATTACCAAAAACCAAGTGAAAGAGTACTTACACAACGATAAATACTTTGGCGTAGTACTATCAGTATTCTGAAACTAGATACTGATAGCGTGAAAGTCGAAGAAATTTGAGGAAGATGGGAGTCACGAATAATTCTTGTATTAAATCGGAGTACACGTTAGGAAATAGGACGACCGTCTGTGTAGTGTGAATGAAGTCGATTAGTTTCACATACGACTTCTGACAGTGTAACACAGATTCCACTAGAAGACATGCCAGTTTTTCAATTACTCGTGATCTTACGCACGTAGGTAGAGCAACTAATAAGCTCTTATTTGAAGTATACTAACAATTGTTTATTTTAAATATACTATCCGTGGATCGAACGAAGAACTGAAATGTTAATGTCTTTACGATGAATTTCTTTGTTGTTAATAGACACGGGGAGGTGCTTAAGCCCGCTATTTTAATAGTGTCGAATTCTCACAGTAAAAAAATAAATACCTCCAACATAGTCAAGGATTTCAGTGTAACAGCACTCTCCAGGGGAAAGTATCACACCAAGAACAATTCTGATAAGTCATTTAGACAAACGAGTTTGTACAATGTATCAGGTTAAAAACTACCGACCTAGCACTTCTAAATTTCCGGCTGACTTTTCTACTTTTATCCAAGTTTAACTAATAATGATTCTTTTTGAAGTTTAGCTATTTGTATTCACTAGAATTTTGTAAAATCAAATACATAGAGATATGTAGGACTCTTCAAAACTAGACATATACAGTACCATTTTAAATGTACGTCTTAAGGATTAAAAATTTTGTAGAAGGATCTGTCATATGCGTTAATATTTTTAAAAGTGAATATTACAAAATGGTTATGCCCTTAAAGATTTTAATTATTCAACAAGTAACAGAAGGAACGATAAATGATGTATACCAATCTGTTAGAGTAAGATCAACAAACCGTAATTGATTTACATCCAACAACAACTACTGGGCATATATTTAACTGGGTCAGTAAAACTAAAAACCTTTTTCACAACATACTATGATGGTGGTAGTTGGAAAAATCAAGTCCCTGGAAGTTAATAAAAAATTTTAAAAATTAAAAAATGTAGTATTCGTCCAATTTCGAATCGAAAATAAATCAAGTTAGGGGAAGCTGATGTTGAATGATGAAAATGAGGATCTGGTTCAACTAGGATGGAAGCGTTTGATCAAACTTGCAACAATAGATCAAAAGAGTGTGAAACTTGGAATAGGAAAACTTTCTAACTGATACACTGTATTCAAGGGATCCTATGTTTTACTATAAAATGTAATCAGTTCTACAATACCCTAAGAAGCCTTCATCATACATCAATCCACTTCTAATTGTGAGGCAGAATGCAAAAAGAAACCAGAGTTTCTGTGTTTGCCAACTAAACCATTGAAATCAATAATGTGGACAAGTTGGACAACTATCAGGTTTAAAACTTTATTCTTAGAAGGCCTAGTAAAATCACAATAACAAGTGATTCAATGTCGGGATCTCAGCTAAACATAGTCCCAGAAATAAGTGCACTTAGCCTGGATGTCGAAGTAACAAAGTTAACAGCTTAGCTGTTTTCATTGAAAAAAGATCAATATTAATTGAATTTATCCACCTACATAATTAACAAAGTACCATGGGACTAAGAATTAATTAATTGCCAAAACATATAGCGAAATCTATACAATTTAACAGTTGAATTATGGAGATGAATTCTAACAATTACTACAATAGTCAAGTTTTAAAACTAGTAGTAGACTACTAAGTTTAAATGTTTATGCTTCCTAATGAATATACGATTACAATGATGTAAAATAAGTCAGAACAGAATAAATGTATGGTCTAAATTCACTGATTGTAACTGTGCAAGTTCGAACAATCTACATTACTTCGTAAGTTGCAGTTTCATATTGTCCAAGGCAGAATACTGTAAACTATTGTCCTTAAGAAGAGTTTGAATTTTACAGAACTATGGTATATTACAAAGCTAAGACAAAGAACCACAAAATGTTTATAGGAACGATGAAATAAGTTTGGTAGACTCAATCAACTTTAAGCTTATAAGTTACCAAATAGTAATCAAAATTTAGTGTACCTAGGCTTTAACCAAACTGACTGTGAAAGTTTCGAAACTATTCGTTTAGTTGAGTAGTGATTACTATACTTGCACAGCTGAGTAACATATAACTGAATCCATGAAGTAGCAAGGGTTTAGTTAACGTTGAAGACGTTTCGCTGTTACGTTCCAAATACCACGAAAACTAGAACCATGGGGTTTCCAGCAGGTCTCCATCCTACTGCTCATTTACATTGACCGATTTTATCATTACCTACCCTATATCTAATCTACCAATAGGCTATCTGAGTTAGCACACCAGAGAAGACGAAAAGGATAGACTTCAATGCTACTTAAATACAGGCGACTAACACTCAGTAGTTATTTACTCTACGAAGGAGGATTTTGTTCGAGGGACCTTAAGAAGCTAGCGTTGATGGTCTAACCAACCTGACAGTGATAATGAAGTAGGAACAACTACTTTAATCCCTTCATACGTGTTTTGGCTTTATATTGTTTCCAAATATTTGAGTCGAAATCCTTAAACTCCTTTGAAAGGAAGAGAATAAAGCCAAGGACAAACTATAAAGACTGATTCCGCATATATGTTGGCGACATAAGTTTGAAAGTTGCAATAGGTTCAAAATTTTGATCAAAAAGTCCTTGAGATTCATAGGGATTAATAGGATTGGTGGATAACAACAGATAATCAGCTTCATTCGAAGTCACTAGGAATATCTAATATTACATATAGTACATTATGACGTCAATGCTTCTTCAAATCAATAAAACCTGACCAGATTGGATAAGGTTACCTACCATCCAACCTATTATTCTCCAAATACAGTATAGCATGTTATCTGGACAATCCCTATGTCTTCTCTCTTTAAACTTAACTACAAAATGATCAGGCCTCCAAAATGATTCTCACACTTTCTGCTAGAAACTTCATTTTATACAACGTTATGATCTATACTTTCAGAGATATCTTAATTCGCTGAGAGTAACAAGTGGTCATATATGAGGTAAACAGTGAAACTTCAAAACAAGATTTAATTCGAACAAATGACAACAATCTCTTTCGCATAACTTACAGAAGACAAATGAACACGTACAATTTAAGTTTGTATATTAGTAACATTAAGTTATAACCAAAAGAAATACGGTCAACTTCTTACTTTAAGTTTTCCGCAAAGAAGGAGAAATCGTAGAACATTTGAGTCACACATTCTAGAGAAAAGTATTTCTGATTATATGAATAAAGAAAGACAAAAAACAGAAAACCGAAAACTAATTAGAATATTTATTGAATAGAAGTGTTCTATAAAATAAACTATGGTTTCTTTACAAGCAATGCAGATGAATCAAAACTTTGGTTACAGTTACAATTACAATGATCACTCCTTGCCCAGGCGAAAAAATCCTTGACATCTAAAAAAAAGTAGTGATCACTTATCAGCCTTACTTTCGTTCCATGTCTCCCGCATATCATCTGGAAACTGGAGAAAATTGATGACAGATATATCACAGTACCTTTTGGAGAAAGAAGAATAGGTGCGGTACGACCTCCTTAACTTTCATAGTATTATCTGTGCATTTTTCCGCTGTGCTCCAAACGCCCTCAACAACTGAAGAATATCCAGCAGCTGCGACCAAACCAAGCTTTGAAATCTCACTACAGATAAACCATAGATGGCATAACTAACCGGACAAAAGTAATGGCCATGTTGGAATGGGTCAATATCTGATCAGCTTAGCTACGTGCTTGAGATAAATACGGTCGTTTAGAAAAATACACTACAAGATGGATTTTTTGAGAAAAGTTGTATTAAACATGCTTTAGTTGAGTGCCGTTAAATATGTGACAAAATAAGTGTAACATAATAGACAAATGTCTAGTACCACACAAAACTATAATATATATGAGGAAAAACAGAGAAATGCAACCCATGATAACAGAGAGTTTACTGATATCCATATTATTTTGGATGACCACTAAATATAATATTATAAAGGTATATTGTATAGATTTCAATCTCTTGTATGCAATCTTACACTTTATGTCAGGAAGTCTATTTTAATAAGTTATATGATCAGGGAGTTATTCAGCTTTTGACTGCTATTTGACCTGGGCTTGTCAATGAGTAGAATAAACTAAAACTGATTTGGTGGAGGAGCTGCCAGTCGACTAATTCACATGAAATCAATCGGTTTGTGTTTAGCCACTAAAACAATCAAAGCGACCCAAAAATCAAGCGTGTAGCTTGCTGGTAAGAGAACAAATAAGATTCTTGATCGAATCATTAGGCTGGTGATAATCCACGTGCTTCTTTGGGAATCTGCAGTCCAAGCCTCCCATAGTTCAAAAGGTAGCGACTAGGACCTTGCTTACTGGGTTCATTCAGTCAGTCAGATGCAACGTAGAACTTCGTACGTAAGTACATCAGTTCATGTTGCCATACCACATAAGCACAGAGATATAATTGTCAATTCAAATCCAACAGTAGAACAGATAGTAAAGGTATTAGAAGTAATCGGAGAGGTTAGGATTAGAAGATATTCAAGAAATATGGTTCAGTGAGAAAAGTTTAGAAAGTCAAAACTAGAGGGGTTCAAGAATCCAGAAGATTAGGATTTGAGAGAGCTCAAAGAATGGATGCACCGGCGCCATTGCAAACGATTCTGAGCCATGTCATTCAGAGTCTCTAACCATCGACTATTATCATCTCGCGGACCCCAACCAGGTAGTCAACAACTACCGACATGACTCAGTCCACTTGTCAATGAATTATTGAGGCCAGTATTTTAGATACTATATTAGTTAGACTTATTCCCCTGTGATTGTCACAAGAAGACTTTTGTCCTTTCTTATTGATTGGGACAATCAGTGATTGAGACCAGTCGGATGGGATTACGTCCAGTTCCCAGATTCTACCTAAGATCTCAGTCAATCTAGCTGCTAAAACTGGACCACTATCCTTAAATATCTCAGGGGTCAGTCTATCAGGACCTGCAGCTCGCCCTCGCTTCAGATTTCCTAACGCCTTCTCAACTTCATAAAGACTAGGGGGGTATACGTCGATTTGCCATCCAGGATGACCGGAGATCGTGGGTAACCGAAGAGTGGCTCGAGGCCAATTGAACTGATCCCTAAAGTGTTCTGCCCATCGGTCCCGTCTCCTGTATTGAGAATGGACAATAAGACCATCCTTTTCCGAAATATTCTCACTCACACTTGGGTTCCTGATGCCAGTTTCCTTGATAAGTCGGAAAAGTTGTCTACTGTTGCCTATCGCCGCTGCCTTTTTCATCTCTCTCGCCTTCTCCACCCACCACTGTTCTCGATCATTGCGTAGGCTTTCTATCAGCCTACGTCTAAGCTGACTTCGCTCCTCGTCGCCCTCAGAGCCAGGTGGGATGAGTTTTCGAGCATCCATGAGTTCGGTAGATGCTATCGACATCCACGGCTTCATCTTAGCCTTATGGTTTACCTTACTAGAAGATATCACTGCTGTTTCCACAGCCTTTTTGATATCATACCAACCTGCTTCTGGATGGGAATCGCTTACATGGTTGCTTAACTCTCTTTCTAGTTGTTCCTTAAATATTTTCTTAGTTTGATTATCATTAAGTAAAACCCTACGAGGCTTTCTTACGGTGTCTTTCCTACGCACAGTGAGCCTCAAACAAATACGAGCTCGCACTAGGGCATGATATGAATCTAAACATGTGCCCCACAACGAGCGACAGTCTTCTATCGAACCCCTCCATCGGTGGCTGATGGAGATGTGATCTAGTTGGGTTCAACGTTGAGACGACTTTGGAGGTCGCCAGGTCAACAGATGCTTTTCCTTATGCCTAAAGTTAGTGTCTGCTAAGAATAGGCGGTTATCTGAGCACATTTGCAACAGACGGTCGCCATCGTCTGTTCTCTGAGCCGCGACACCATAACATCCACCATGGTGTCTTTCATTTTCACTCAGTCTACCCACTTGAGCATTAAAGTCACCAGCCATTATTACTACATCAGAACGCCTAACTTTTTGAAGGAGGTCCGAGAGCTTCCTGTAAAACTCATCTTTCACCTCGTCTGAACTGCAGTCAGTGGGGGCATAGGCAGATATGACGAAGAGGCAACGGCGAATGTCCCTATCCTTTCGAATCCTTACTGTCTCGTTTAGTCGTACAGCATACAAGCGACTATCCACTGGGGTCCAGTCTAGGAGAGATTGTTCAGCTCTACGACTCAATGCTATGCCTACGCCAGCAAGACTCCAGGAAGCAGCATCAGGGCTTCCAGATACACGAAGAGTAAAGCGAGCTGCTTCTTTATTTTGACAAGGTGAAATCAGATTAATAATTTTACTACGATCCTGTATGCGCGTTTCCGAGACACAGCATACATCGATGGAACGAGATTCCAAAGTCCTAGCTAATGATGTCTGTTGCCCTATTTGACACAATGTCCGTACATTAAAAGCTCCAATATGCAGTCTAGAACAGGTTTTAAGAGACCAGGGATGACGTTTCGTGAACTCGCTTCGTCTGCATTAGCGGTGCAGTGAGAAAAGGGACTGTGAGTAGATTTAGTTGTGGAGATAAGAGAGGTATTAGAGGGTGTAGGAAGGATTTGATTTCGGCCAATTTGGTCTCGTGTGCTGTTACGGGTATGAGGGCGGTTGTCACTTCCCGGCTGCCCACACCGTGGAAGGTTGTTTCTTGAGGGACCTGAAAAGGAAAATAGATTAGTGTTGGTCTTGGAGACCTGGGAGCGTGACCGCAGAGTCCAAGGGACAACTGCTTCAGGCCAGTCACGCACGGCCTTTTTATGAAAGGTTTTTTGAGGATTAGCTCCGCTCTTAAACGCGCTTAGTGGGCACCCTTACCGAAGGAGACGGAAATCTGTGAGTTAGGGTGAGGTGTGACATTTTTAGGGTCGACCTTTTCTAACCCTTCCTTCCTTGTGAGAAGGCAGCATCGCTGAAGATGCTGGTTACCTGAGGGAAACACCTTACTGCTGTCACACCCCTCTGCAGTCAGCAGCACAACTTCGCCCTCAGACCTCGGGTAGCTGCTTTCAGTGTCATCGTTCTCCAATCGACCTGCCTGGCATGGAAGAACCTTCAGGAACATATGTTCCAGCCAATATAGCTCGGTTGGGTCATCACGGTAGACAAGCCCGACCACCACTCAAGGTAGCAGCTACGGTTGGGTGCTTACTGGGTTTAAGTCTATAATTATAACATTGGTTTTTTATAAGAGGATTACGTTTTTCACCTATCCTAATAGAAAACGCACCAACAGTTGTATGCATATTGTTTCTTTAAAATATACAATAACTTGCATTAACCGGATTTCGAAATAAAGTGAGGTGAGAGGCATTAGCGAGTTGATATAGTTCTGAATTTTTATCAACAGTAGCCAAGAAGTTACAGCAATACTAGTCCAGAACTTTATCTCATAGATAATTATAGGTTGGAGAAACTCAGGCACTATATAACCAAGAAGCTTAAGATCCTGAACTGCTTTGATAAGTTATCATTTAGTTCCCAAATACCTTATTTTGCATGCTCATCGACCGTTCCGCGCCACCCACGCCGTTGTTAACTACGACTTTAACTATCTTTTGAGTAGCCTCATGATGTTTATAAACAATATTTTAAATCAGTTTGAGCCTGAACACACGCAAAACAGGCTTTGTTACACGACGTACTAGGAGGGCTAATACTTATCTATCCGATACTATTAAATTCTACTCATGATTTATATATTCTAAAGTAAGAAATGTTGTAGCGTTACATGAATGTATCACAGCACTTTTTTGTGGCTGTCGCAGTTGAAGTAGCTCGAATTTTACAGGCACACAACCTCGTACATCTATTTGGAAATTGAAGAGACCAGTCAAGATAAAACCGAGTGGGTTTTAAAGACTTCATTAAACTCAGAGAAAAAAGATTCGATGTCATCTCTTCCAACGTCCTACAGCATGTTCCAAACATTGGATAGCCTTTCCGAAATTCCTATTTGGTGTAGTGGGTAATTACCAATTACTAGTCGAGCAGTCAATTGTTTTAATATGCAGGCAGATGAAGACTGACGATAGTCTTTCTGGCATCAAGTGATACTGGAGAACAATCAATTGTTGGTGTCACAAACTAGTTAAGAACCGACTACCTACCTACTGAACAGTGTAACGCTTTTTGCATGTTAAACCAACTGAAACTGAAATCAACAATCCATTATTCTTAAGACACCGTTCGAAACCTGGAAGCACTATCAACAATACGCATCCACAACACCTGCACCTTTCGGGAATCGAACCTAGGACCTCCGGTCTTGCGCGCGAGCGCCTAACATTCAGACCACTGGGCCGGCATCCAACGGTACTAATGCCTAACTCTGATTAATTTAGTGTCCCACACCAGGACAAAATGGTCGTCCAATGCTTCCAGGTTTCTAATGTTGGTCTAACAATGATTGATTGATTTCCATGTGTAAAAACACTAATTCCGATAAGTCTAATTAAACTGAGATAATAAAAGATCTCAGCAGACTGTAACGAGCACATGAAAAAATTGGAAAAACGAAGTATGACATAAATACTGGCCTGTTAACCTAATGAGCACAAGGAACCCACCTACACTTAACAACTGTAGGAAGTAACAACAAGCGTCAACTACAGCGCGAAAACCGAAATCATTCACTGTCCAATATCGTAACTACCACCCTAAATTTGACGTGTTACGCCTGGGATTTAGCAGGTTCCTGTCCTACTTGAAAGTACAGCGAGCGCTGATTGAATGTCATGGTGAGTATGTGATATAATAACGAGGAGGAAAAGCTAGAGTTAAATTGAGCTGAGGACTCAGTAAGCATAAATAGCTAACGACGGAAGTAAAAATCAGAAATTAGTATAAGGTAACTATAATGATAAATTAGTTACAGGACGAGGATTAGTTACAGCTAGTCCAAACGGAAGATGACAATCAATTTGAATGTACGCGTCCATAGATTCGGTTCCCTAGGTCGTCCACTGAGAAAGCTATGGCCATTTTGGCCGAAAAGGTATTCCAGATGCTAGTAAATGTTATTATTATAAAAAGCAATCATACCTAACTTTTCGTCATTTAATACAGTTGTTCTAGGGGTGTCGCACAGAGAGAGGTTCTGGTTTTCGGGTGGGATGTTTAATCTGACTGTATATATGAAATGAATAAAATAGCGACTTATAAAACTATTATAATCTGCCAAACAGAATAGTTAGACAGATCAATTACGAATTATATTTATCAGACATGTAATTTTGATGAAATGTTTACACTGAAATAGTTAGAAAGTGTGACAGGGATAAAGCACAACTAAAAAATGTACAGTTATCTTGCAGTTTGAAATTAATTTTTACTCTTTCGTAAGAAGTATCCCTTATTTCGACTAGTCTAATAGTACTATTGTTAAAACGAAATAACCGTTATAAGTGACTCCTCGTCTAAGGTCCCTGTAACAATAAACTGTATTTTAAAAGATAGGGTCAACCTAAGTCTATTCAAGCCCAATGGTATGTGTTATCAGCAGTTTGTTAGAGAAAATCTTTCTAGACTGTCGTAGATTTGAATATGAGATTATTACGGTGAACATTATACAAACAACTTCATCGATTTTACGCGATAGATGAAATGAAATTCTTGAGGCAAATGTTGAAACATTACCACGTACGTTTCATCTCTGTTAGTACTGAGGTGTACACAAATATTATTGTCCTTAATGGTACCCTAATAGTTACTATTATCAAAATTCTTATCATAAGTGGCCATAAGTGAGAAAGTGTATTTATTTCATGTGAATGTCTAACTTAAAATTCAGTATACGGAATTAAGCTTGTTCACCGAAATTTACAAAATTATGTAAGTATGAATATTTTACATAATTTGAATTTAGTGGATGATGTCGTTTGACGAACTTTCACTGTAAACTCGACCCAGTAATGAACATACCATCATGACCATCTCCAACCTTGTATTAATTAATAGTAATCTCATATGTATAGACCTTTAGTTTACAGCTCCATTTAACGATAAATTTACCTCGAATATAATTTCAGCGAACTGCAAGTGTAAGCTAACATAATGTTGAGGAATTTTCACTAAATTGTTTCATTATATCCTCGAAATTGACGTGTTCTCGTTTACATCTTACCATTAACCGGAAACAATCCAGTTTTCAATACTAGATTGGGACAAATAAACATTCCTGAGGACATAAAGTTTTTCCCCACATATTGGTAGGCAGTCGAAGTAACAACTCAGATAAACTTAATCATACGAATTTTGAAGCACTGCGTGGTAAGTCTAGCTGCCTCGATCACCCGATCTATTCGCAGTTAATTCAACACCAGCACACACAAATTCTATCACTTGAAAACACTATTGTTAAGGAAGTGACTGGATTCACACGACGTTACTTGCCGGGAAAATCATATGTAATATTGCAATTTTGGGTGTCGTTCAGGTTCGATTATTGAGCAGTATACATTCACTCTATCTAACATTATTGTTTTCCTCCCTCAAAACTTATATCTCACTTATTTACCTCTTCAGATTTTCACAAGGTCGACCCTTTGGTCTAATAAGTAGTATGTTAAGGAATAATGGTGCTAATAGTTCTTACACGATAACCTCTGGGTATGAATTCCGGTGTTAGTAATGAGTTGAAAACCCCATTCGTCAGTGACACAATTACGGAAAAACTTAAGATCTCACTTGATAGTGCACCCCAAAGTAGTGTGTATAACTGCGATTACTCGACCCAAACACCACTTGATTTACGAAAAATAAACCAGGATGACACTCGCTCCTGGTAAGCCTAGTAGGCAGAAAGGTAATAAGAGATAGAAGCGTCCTAAAACTCCAGTGACACAGCCTTCTATTCAGAAAGAACAGAACAGTGTTATTCGTACCACTTGGTCGCTGTCAGTTAAAACCAGAAACTCAGTATTAACTGGCCTTACTGTTGCTTGGATACTGAAGTATTTAGACAGTACCAAGGGTTATCCAAGTCATCCCTATCCGTGGTTCTCAGACGTTCATTCACAATGTAGAATCATTAAGCTGTTAAAATTAATAACAATGAAGAAAGGGGCCACGTCCAGTATCAACATACTGATCCCCACTATCACATCTAATTCTCCCAAGAAAAGACTGCTGGAAAAGTTGACAAAGGCAGCCTCAATCCGAGTTAATATACATATATATGTCGGTTGCTGCAGACTCCCTAGTGTCCGTTAACGGTTCGAAGCAGTAGCAGAACGTAATGAAGGGAAAAAGCCACACCCTAGCTGCCGAGATGCCACAAACCAAGGACATCGATTCCAGAATTCACCAACTTTATTTAATATAACAGTGTCGGAACGTAGTTTACTGATAAGTAGAACAGTTTTCAGTAATAAATAGTAAGATGGATACTGCGCAACACTTGGAACGAGAAGTATCCAAACCAAACACTGCCATCTGTTTAAGGGTTAGGAATTAGAGAAAAACAAAACTCAGCTACTGAGGGTGAGTCCGGACCCGTCACCAGTTACTGTAGAAATCCTTCTCACAACTCAGAGACCAACAGTAAGACTATTAATAATAACCCGAGTCAGGAACGACAAGCCATGGTCACTACAAGCAACTACTAGTACACAAATAGATACTCAAGAACAAGTCCCATGCAGTTCTTGAGCTGGCTGGTGGCTGCTTCAATGAAGCTCACGGACATTATGTACAACAAAGACAATAGTTGACTCGTAGCATGGGCGTTCACACTAATCTGTGTCTTCCAGCTGCCTCGTCCGTCACATCTGACGACTTTTAGGTCTGTGCGTCTGAAGCTTTGAAATTCAGAAACTAGGAGTACCTAGCTGAGACGATTCAGGCATCGTACAGCATGACATACGATCTCTACAGTCAAATTAGATGTTGCAAGAGCCAACCTAGAGCAGTGAGACAACAACGGAAAGATTACAATAAGCCCACAGTAATGTCGGTTAATCTCAGTCAACATGAAGATTACGGTCCAACCGATTATTACTCTGTGCAAGCACAATTACACTTCCCACGGAACTTATCGACTCGGCTTAAATAACTGGTTATAACATCAGAGAACGGATTGTGCTACAGAGACTCATCATTTGATAAGACAAGCGCTCAGTTGCCTTTATTGAAACGTTAGAGGACTTAAGGATAAGCTGGTAGTTAACAGGATGGATCTGAGGACCACAATCTTAACACGAAAACAGCTATCGCCAGACATTGAAGTTTTCATGCAGAGTATGACACTCTTCCGATGCGATCGGGTCAAAAATACAGGAGGTCAAGCAGTAACAGTTCACAAAACCCAACTAACCGACGTGACAGAATCATGATGGCATTACCTCAACACGAATGATACAAAATAGTTCATCTTAAGGATTTACCCTTAGTTACTGGAAACAAGAAAGATACGTTAGTTAGGGAAATGTTGCAACTTCATTACGCTGGGTTCGGTCGATTACTTGGTGGCTCTATTATATGGGGTCAAGATGGAATTTTTCCTTAAAAATGATCAGCTCCTAGTTGAGAATGTGCATTTCCACACACCAATAGAAAGGAGTGACCATGATGGTCATGTTTAATATGGTCGCACACGAAATACTCTGGGAAGAAAGAAACGCATCCTACTTTTGCTACACCTCGGTATACTGCACGACAATGAGTGAGCATCTTATACGTAATCCATGGTCACGAGGGTGGTAGAGGCTGAAAGTATGCGATCACTGGGGAACAGTGGGAGACATCATTCAGGATACAGTCCTACACAACGCATCTGAGGGAAGTCACTTACTTGAAAAGAGAAGAATATGCGTTAAGCGAGGCACAACGCTTGATGTGGGCGGAGAGTATTGGACACGTAGAAATTCTATCTCAGGGATTCTGAGCACTAAGTTCCGAAGTGACAGGAGACACTTCAACATTCAAAGGGACCGAAAATATCTTTTTAGGTTCATGACCAAGAGAAAGCCTACAAACCAGGGTGTTTTTACTACCAAAGTTCCAAACGTGAAGAACTTACCAATTTAACTGATGGATGAGATCCTCAATGCCAATTCCACTGACTACTTAAATGAAGTGTCTAAACGTTCAAAGTACTGAGATGGGACAATATTCGCCCTATAGTCTTGAAAATGTGTGCAGAAGCCTTCAGTTTACTGGTGTGCGACCTGTTTATGCATTCTCTGGAGTCAACCTAACTCGCAGCTGACTGCAGCCAAACTACTCTCTAATTAATCCTTATAGGAGGAGACAGAACAGATCTAGCTTCTCACACATCAGGCTCACCGCTAACAACACCACCAAAGGAAATAAAGGAATGGTGAGTGAGAGAATGAGGAAGCCTATGGATCAGAACAGTATCCTCCATGGAAACAACACGGGCTCAGTGAAGATAGGCCGTGTATATCCAACCATCTCACAGCTTGGGACAGCTCGAAAAGGCGATGGGACCAAACAACAGTGGGTCTTATAATACTACTGGACTTTGAAAATGCCATCGAGTCAGTACCCCACACATTCCTAATAGCGACTGTTACGAAGTTGGGCTTCACTGACTCACTTCTACCTCGGCCTAGAAAGTGTCTAGAAGACAGGATGTTAAGTACTAAGATAAATAGGTTGCATTAGAGATGATAGGTCTCAACGTCGCAAGGGACTATCTTACATGCACTTCTCTTCCCGATATTTATAAATGACTTGTTCGATATAATTAGCTCAATGACGCTATGAGGATGACGAGATCTGGAGGTCCATATCAAGAGGATTCAAGTAAAATTCAAAAATGTCTCAGAGTTATTGAAGAATAGGTAGTTGACAGTGGGTTTAAACTTAACATTTCGTAATATTATGTCACGAGTTTTCGGCCCCATGTGGCCCGAAAACTGACTTCCTTGGTGGATTTCCGCTCCATAATACCTACTCAGAGCGCGATCTCGGTCGAATTACCTCAGAAAGTCTAGACTCCACTTCAAACTACATGGAAATAGAGATAAGGCTAAAGTACCTCCTCACTTTATATGAAGACAACTAGGTGTAATTATCCCAGAATCATGCTTAACACTACATAAAAAACCACACCTTCAGGTTCATAACGTCGTCTCAACCCCTTTCCTGAAAAACAGAAATATCTCTATGATCGAGAGGTAAAACGAGCAACGAGATGGGTAATAGGGTTAGTAAATAAAACTTAGGAACATAGACCCCAGCACCTGGGATTGTTCTCCTTGAGTGGCGGGAGAGTCGGAGGCGATCTGACAATAGTATACAACACGTTAGGCACGCAAATGATCAAGATATGGACATTTTTCCGGAACATCTCCATCACATAATTAAAGGTAAGACGTGAGTAATTGTATATCTGAGAGAATAAACTCAGGTACGCGCCTCAGTCAGTCAGTCAATTACAACATAGAACTTCGTAAGTAAGCACATCAGTTCAGGTTGCCATACCACACTAGCACAGAGACGCTATTGAAAATTCGAATCCAATAGTGGTGGAGATATAAGAAGAAGTACTAGTAATGGAGAAGATTAGGATTTGAAAATATTATTCAAAGAGTATAATTAAGGGAAATAAGTTTAGAAAGACGAAGGCAGGAGTGTTGACGAAACCAAAAATTTAGGATTTAAGAGAACATAAAGAGTGGGTGCACCTGCGCCATCGCGAACGATTTTGAGCCATGTCATTCAAGGTTTCAAAACTGTAAAATCCATTTTGAAGTCTCCGTTTTGGGGAAAATCCCTCCACATATATATTTGTAATATGTTCTTACTGACTTTTTCTGCGCTACATTTTGGTACTCTGTTTAATCCCATTTTGTGATGTTAATATTTGTATTTTATTAAAGTATTTTTAGTACCTTTATTGGAGTTTCTATGTTTTCTACTTAACTGTATTATTTTTTTAAATGGGTACTTACCTATGACGCCAGCCGTATCGGATTTGACAACCTGGGCGATGAACCATG